GGCTGCCAGTTGAGGTCCACTGCTCCAGGATTTGAGAAGCCTGACCACTCAACATCATGTTGTGAATTGGACTTATTCAAATGAACTCACGACGGGGAGAGCTGTTGTTGTTTTAGTGTCCAGAAGCTAACCGCTAGCATTAGCAACTCAAATGCACATCTGGAGCTCCTACAGGCCTGTTAGTCATGGAGATGAAACATCCATGTCCTTGACTCAAGCAAACCGAGTTAGTGGAAGTGGTGTTACTTTTATCCAATCAGAAGCAAGATGTCTAAAAGTCAAGAAATAAGACTAAATCCTCCCAATTGAAACACAGCTGTGATGTCGCAGACCGGTCCTGCTGGGCTAGGGGTTTGTGGGCTTTTCTGTGCCCTGAGTTCTGCCTGCAAGGCATTCATCCCTATTAGAGACCACTGCATATATATTGGCTAACTCATTCACTGCCAGCCGTTTCCTGATCAGAAAAGCCCTTTGCTGCCAGTGTTTTTCAGCGTTTTCACAGCTTTTTTTTGAAGAGTCACAGAATGTTGCGTGCTAAGATGATGTCAACGCCAAAACAACCAAAACAACCAAAACAAAGAGGAGACTCACCTCTTACATCAAGAAGAATCTGCGAGTTTTGAGCTTTATCCATTCTTTCATAATCCTTTGTTGAATTGTGATCGGCAGAAGCTTTTCCAATTCGCGCCTCGCTTTTTTTACAGCAGCGGCCCAAAACGATCTCCTAACACATGGATGTTCTGCTTCCTGATCATGTGACGTGTGACGTATGCGGATGAAGATTGGCTTTAGAGCTGAGATGTTTGTTCTCACGGTGTGGGGGCTCGTCCGACGCCCACACAGTAAAAAAAATGCAAATGACGACTTTAGTCGTCATTGGGAGTGAACGGTTGGATTTAAAATTACGACTTTAGTCGTCAATGGGAGTAAATGAGTTAAACAAGTAATCTACGCCTTTAATCGTCTGTAAGGTCGTAGGGAGCTGCTTTCTGTCTCCATCAGTCAACTGAGTCAGAGGCAAGGGACAGCACAGGGTCACACATCTAGGGTTTTTCTTATTACCCTGACACACATGGTCTTGGTCTATGGGAGGAAACTGGAATACCAGGAGAAAACCCACACGAGCATAAGGAGAACATGCCGACTCCACAAAGAACAGGGATTTGAACCTTCAACCTTCTTTCTGCACACCAACAGTCCTACCAACTGCACTAACATGCAGCCCACAGAAGAAAGTGTTTGGGGCAAGAATCTACCATGGTAAAATTCGCTAACTGAAAATGTAATCAAAGTAAAAGTTACTTGTTACTTAGTTACTTTAGTAACTTTTGGAGGAAGAGTGTTCATTCTTGTGGCTGCATTTGAATTTCACTGCTTTTTTCACCAGCATCAACTCCCAATAAACAAGTAAGACCTGACCCAGAGTCAGCTGATGGGTGATTTTAACTCGAGTTCTGACCTAAACAGTCGGAAGTCACTGTTACACATCTAAAGTAATATTTGTGAGTATTCTATTACTTCATTTGAAGTATAATTTTTCCACTCTCAATAAATGGAATATCATTATTTAAGACATAAGACAAAAGTTATTGATATATTTAGTATATTCAGAATATCCATACATATTACCTAGAAAGGTGGCGCACAATTGAACTTATTTAGTCTTTATTGGAAACCTAATTTCTCTTGTATAATACTTTATTCTTATTTTTACTAGGGCTGCACAATATATCGTAAATATATCGTTATCGCGATATCAGCATGCACAATATGCATATCGCAAAGAACAGAAAAATATTCCAATGAATGGTCAGCTCAAATGTTTGCTACACGTAACGCATTCTGTATATCAAACGGAAGCATGATGTTTTTTTAACAAATCAAATAGAGCTCCTCACCCATTTGGCCAATCGGGTGGGTTCTCATAGGTTAGATGCCCGCCCCTGAGGCGGATGGCACTTAATTTTGATGGTTAGCAAACACCTGAGTTAGCTTAGTTCTGCTCTTTCTGCTGATTCTGCCTTTCCCAGGATCCACGGATTGCCTTTTCATGTTAATTTTCTTTTTCCCTTTCCTACATTGTTTGCTTTTCTCATTTTGATGAATTTTTTATTTGTTTGTTTTTGATTATTTTTATCCCTGAGTTAAGTTTTTATTTATCGCAAATAATATTGTCATCACAATATTAATCACTGTTATAGAATATCGCAGGTTTTCCTAATATCGTGCAGCCCTAATTTTTACCCAAACACTCCACAAAGCTCTAATAGCCATAACAATCAAGTGGAGCTGTGCTTTTATTGTAGTGAAGGGTACACGTGTGCAGCTATGTTTTCCACTGAAGAGGCTTTTAATTACACGTGAAATCATCTTTCCCATCATGCCTCAGCAGGTTCGCCTCCTCTCTGTTGTCTGAAGATCAAGATGAAGCTCTTTGATACGTCGTCCTTTTTCAGCCTCATGTCCTTAAAAGTCAGAAAGTCTTTTTAGAAGAAGAAAATATCATTTCTAAAGCACCTCTCAAGATTAAAATCACGAGGCGCTTCACAAAAACAAAAAATGTAACAAATATAAAAAAGAATTTAGAAAATGGTTAAAAAATATATTTAAAATGAGCCAAAAATAGACAATTATGATTAAAAAAATGTTAAGAGAGAGAGTGAATAGGAAAGAGGGAAATCAGTGGATCCTGAGGAAGGTGGAATAGGTGGGGAGAGCAGAATAAAGAGAGAGAGGTGAAGAAGGTCATACAAAAGCCAGCTTGAACAGGTGAGTCTTCAGCTGCTTTTTAAAGGAGTCCACTGAGTCCACTGATCTCAGGCTCAGGGGGAGAGAGGTCCAGAGTCTGGGGGCCACAGCAGCAAATGATCTGTCACCTTTGACCTTTAGCCTGGTGCTGCACAATCAGTAGGCTTTGATCACTGGACCTCAGGGACCTGCTGGGAGTGTAGGGACTGAGAAGATCACCAATGTAAGATGGTGCTTGTCCATGTAAGGCCCTATAGACCAGAACCAGGATCTTGAAATGAACCCTGAAGTTGACTGGCAGCCAGTGAAGCTGGAGGAGAAGCGGGGTGATGTGGGTGTGTTTGGAGGACTTGGTCAGAAGCCGAGCACAGGCGTTCTGAACCACCTGTAGACGGTTCAGGGAGGTTCTGCTCAGACACGTGAAAAGAGTGTTACAGTAGTCTAAGCGTGAGGAGATGAAGGTGTGGAGAACTGTCTCAAGTTCATTGCGGGACAGAATGGGACTCAGCTTAGCAACGTTCCTGAGATGGAAGAAGGAAGAGCCAATAAGAAAACTGACATGAGAATCCAGGGTGAGAGCTGGGTCAAAGGTCACACCAAGATTCCTGACAGAAGGTTTGGTGTGAGAAGCAAGCTGACGAAGAGAGTCTCTGACTTTGGGAACCAGCTTGTCTGGGGCACAGATGAGGATCTCAGTCTTATCTTCATTCAGCTGAAGAAAGCTCCCACCATCCAGGTTTTGATAGAGTCTAAGCAGGTGTGTAACAGCTGCAGCTTAGACATCTCATGGGGCTTAAAGGAGATGTACAGTTGGATGTCATCTGCATAAAGATGGTAGGAGATTCCTTTGAAGGAGCTCAGGATGTGCTGAAGAGGAAGCAGATAGAGGAGGAAGCACAGAGGCCCCAGCACAGAACCTTGTGGGACACCATGGGTAAGGGAGGTGGTGGTGGACCTAAACTTGGAGACGGCCACAGAAAAGGAGCGCTCAGAGAGATGAGAGGAGAACCACTCCAGAGCAGATCCTGATAGACCTACCCAGTCTCTCAGCCTCTCCAGTAGCAGGTGATGGTCAACAGTGTCAAAGGCTGCAGTCACGTCCAGCAGGACCAGAACAGAACAGTCCCCTGCATCACTGTGAGTCAGAAGGTCATTAGAGACCCTAAGAAGAGCTGTTTCAGTAGAATGAGCTCTACGAAAACCTGACTGGAAGCTATCATAGATGTTCTGTTCATCAAGAGCAGCTGTGAGTTGTTTAGCCACAACCTTTTCCAAGATCTTGGAGATGAACGGAAGTTTATGGGCCATTCCCATCTGTACCGGGTCGGCCCGGGCCGGGTAGCGTAGGTTGTTTACATATCTGGGTGGCCTGGTATTTTTCCGGGCCAACCAAGGCTCATTCTCAGCCCTCTTCTCGAGGGGGTCTGCTTCAGGCCGACCAGGGCCAACACACCCACTGCTGACAGCAAATTCACACCTTCCATTAGAGCAAGCCTCTGATTGGTGGGTAGAATCAGCCCACATGGGCTTAAGGCAAGGATGTGTGGACTCAACCGGGCCAGGCTGGGGCCGACTGGGGCTACCCGGCCTGGGCCGACCCGGTACAGATGGGAATGGCCCATTAGAGATGGGTCTGAAGCTGCTATGGAGAGAGGCGTCAAGACTCGGTTTTTAAGAAGCGGGTGGATTACAGCGTTCTTAAAGTAAGCAGGGACCTGACCAGAAACCAAAGCATTAATTATAGAGAGCATGCTCAGACCGATGGACTGAAAAGCACTTTTAAGTTAAAGAATATGCAATGGTGATCTGAAATCTAAACGTCCTCGGGACAAACACTGTCAGCATTTAGACTCAGGGTAAAAACAAGGTCCAGAGTGTGCCCCCTGGTGTGTGTGGGGCCAGAAACATGCTGGGATGATTTTAGTGGCAGGAAAGCTTCTTGAATCACCATCTTAATGAAACTCGGTGCACTTTGGACCTGGTAGGGTCTCTTCAGGCAAAATGGTCATATATGAAGGAAATAAAAAGGACATGCAGTCATTCACAACTAATTAAGGGTTCATAAAAGTTTCCATTCTGAGAACCCAGCAAGGTGCCGGTCGTGAAATCTGAAAGGTGGAAATCAGTTTTAGAAAAAGGAAAAAACAACAAACAGAAACTGAACTTTAAGACGAGCCGGGATAACAAACTCATCATTAACGACATTCATGTGAACACTGACTTGTGTGTTTTTATTGTGTTTCTGCTGACAGCTCTGGCTGCGTTTGGACAGGAAGTACCGTCCAACCCTCACGGCTGCACTGAGGGTAGCTGTTATCCTGCAACAGGAAACCTTTTGATTGGACGAGCGGCCAATTTAACCGCCACTTCCACCTGTGGCCTGCGCGGACCGGTGCAGTATTGCATCGTGAGCCATTTACAGGTAAGGAGATGACCCTCAGCGGGAAATGGACTGTCTGTTTTGAAGAGTCAGTGTTATAGTTTATACAGTGTTGTTCCCTCAGCATGTGAGTTAGTTTTAGCTTTTTAGATATTTCTAATTATTTTCGTAAATGATTATCCGGTTGTATTTTTACTTGGTTATTTTGCTTTTATCAACATCTTTTGATTTTTTTTCTCTCGTTTTTATTTATGGCCATGTACATTTTATGGCTGGCCATTGCTTGGGTCTGTAGTACAGCACTTTGGTTCGCCTGTGGTGGAAGGAAAGTGCTTTATAAATAAAGGCTGCTGCTGCTGCTGATTATGATGGAGCCAAACTCTCAGTATTGAACAGAACAAAGCTTTGGGACTGGAAGTGTTAGCAGGTCTTCATAGTGGATAATTACAGGTAAATGAAGCTGACTGACCTGCTGTATCACTTGTGGTTTAAATGGATCTCTTCACCGGTGGCGTTTTCTGGTGCAGCAACGGTGAAATGGCTCCTCCTCGTGTGTGCTCAGATGGACACTGATTGTTATTCTGTCATCATTACTGTAAAAATTCCTGTTTTCATGCACCATCAGTCACTCTGCACGACTTCATCTGCATCTGTTTGTTTGTAGTGTGGTTTCCATGACCAAGGCCTTTCCAGGCCCATCCTAGCCCCTGGCGTTGACACAACCTGCCACACCCTCTTCAAACACAGCCTCTGGATCTGGATCTCTGTCCTGTAGCACACTAAACCTGCTCTTCCTCATGTCCAGTGTCTCTTTAGTTAGTCGGTTCGGTGACTGCTGGCATCTCTCCAGCAAACTCTAAAACCCCAACTTCTGAATGACCGTTTCCCTCTGAACAAAAGTGCTAATAGAAGAAGAAGAAGAAAGTATCATTTCTATAGCGCCTCTCAAGAGGCGCTTCACAAAAACAAAAAATGTAAGAATATAAAAAAGCATTTACAAAATGTTTAAAAGTATATTAAAATGAGCAAAAATAGGCAATTGTGATTAAAAAAATGTTAAGAAAGAGAGAGTGAATAGGAAAGAGGGAAATCAGTGGATCCTGAGGAAGGCGGAATAGGTGGGGAGAGCAGAATAAAGAGAGAGGGGTGAAGAAGGTCATACAAAAGCCAGCTTGAACAGTTGAGTCTTCAGCTGCTTTTTAGGCCCTGTCCACACGTAGCTGGGGATCTGCCAAAACGTAGATATTTTTCCACGTTGTGGCCTGTCATCCACACGAAAACGGAGTTTTTTCACACGAAAACGGATCTTTTTAAAATCTCCGGCCAAAGTGAAAATCTGCGTTTTCTCCGTTTTGGGTGTCTGCGTGTGGACGGACAAAGCCGGAGTTTTAATGTCCGCAACGTCACTTTCCGCGACAAAAAAATGCTGACATCACGTGTGCGACCTGTGTTTACACTAGCCGACAGCATGGATGCCCTCAGAGCTGCGCTCGCTTTATCAATTGTCCAAGCACTTTTTGCTTGTTTGTTTTTGCAAGCGGAATTACTGCTCCTTGAGGAAGACGACAGACGGAGGACGAGGTTAAGAACGGGGAAAGTACTGACGCCTACAGGTCTGGCATGTCCTTAACAATGTATTTATCCAGGTACGTGTGGACAGTTTTTTTTTAAAACGAGGTGGTGTGGATGCAAGTTTTTGGAGGGGCGGATATTCGTTCAAAAAAACCCGGCTACGTGTGGACTAGGCCTTAAAGGAGACCACTGAGTCCACTGATCTCAGGCTCAGGGGGAGAGAGTTCCAGCGTCTGGGGGCCACATTAGCAGATGATCTGTCACCTTTGACCTTTAGCCTGGTGCGCTGCACAACCAGTAGGCTTTGATCACTGGATCTCAGGGACCTGCTGGGGGTGTAGGGATTAAGAAGATCACCAATGTAAGATGGTGCTTTTCCATGTAAGGCCCTATAGACCAGAACCAGGATCTTGAAATGAACCCTGAAGTTGACTGGCAGCCAGTGAAGCTGGAGGAGAAGCGGGGTGATGTGGGTGTGTTTGGAATAGTTACAGGATAAACATCTGTTTAGCCTCTTTTAGGGAACAGAGTCTGAATCGATGTTTACATTCAGCTCCTTTTGGGTGTCCAGTTTGGACAGTTTGCCCTGGAACACCGTACAGTTGGGTGTGATGTTATTCTCAAATTCGAGACTCTGTGCAACAATGCTGCGTGGGCCGGGCCGGTATACTCCCTCCCGGTCGGACAGCCGTCAGCCCGGGGAGTTGTCCGTGAGTTGCAAGCCCCTCCCCCCACTCTGGTGGCGGGACGGAGAAATGCCAGGGCTGAACTTTGGTCCTAGTCCTGGCCTCTGTGCAACAGCCTACCTTGCTCTACTCACTTAGAGTCGAGTAATGAGTAGGCCTGGTTCATACAGCAGGATTTAAAAAATGTCTGATGATTTTAAAATCATGACACCTCGCATTTAGCAATGAAACGTTACAGATCTAACAGTTCTGGTGCTAGAGTGTGTGGTGTGCAGCCACACATCAAAAACCAGCTCCACGTGGACACTCCCCCCTGAGAGTTAAGACCTAAACCATCGTAGGAACAGTCCGGTAATGCCAACCTGCTGCTCCAGGTGATTGATTAAAATGTTGTGCTCCACTGTATCAAAGCTGCTGTCAGGTCTAAAAGTCAAAGGATCACTGCATCTCCCCAAAGCTGCTTTTACAGGACCGTAGCGTTTGCAACACGGGACTCGCCGCGGCTCCCTGGGGTGGATTTTGGCATTTATAGTAGCAAAGCTGAAGCTAGAATAAACTGCTATCAGGCACCTCTCAAACCAAGACGGGATAAAGGGAGGTGATGTACAGGGTCGCGCGTTCAGCGTCAGTCGGAAGACACGTCAGACTGATGAAATTTCTTTTTCAGGACCTTTAGCTTTGATGTGATCTGCTTTTTGTCCCGCTTGACGCCCCGCTCAGCCAGTGCTTTCACCACTCTGTCGAACAGCTGGCTGTCTCTCACCGTCCCCGTAAAAAGGCGTCTAATCTGTTCGTCCGCTCGCGCATGACCAAAAGCTCCATGGTCTCCGCTTCTGTCCAGTTTGCTATGTTGTAGGTGGTTGAAAGAAACTAGTGAGAGGCCATGCTTATCTGTGTTTATATCGCTTCCGGCCGGCACTCGGCGCGCAGCATACGTCGCTAACGCGACCACTCTCTTTTGCGGGGGGGCCTCCCACAGTCGCTCCAAAGGGATTAGCGGGGCTGACAAGCGTTTAGCCATCAAAGGCGAGGGGCTCATGCGTCAATATTACTACGAGGCTAAGCACATCAGAATCGAGTTTTATCACCTTTCCCCTTTGCTCCTTGCCGCATTTACGAGACCCGCAAATTGGGATTTATCACTCAGTAATGACGCGATGGTCTGTCTTATAAAAGAGGCTCAAGTTTTAGCTAAAAGAGCTGACTCTGTGTTTTTGAAGGGCTTTAAACCCAGACTGGTAGACTTCCACGAAGTGCTTCATTCAGTTCTAAGTCTTTAATTAAAAGTACTGAAGCTATTTTGTGGGAATGTTGTTCCACAGCTAGGATTGTGCTAAAATCTAGAGTTCATGAATGAAACTCTAAATGTTGTGAAGTTTAAACCCGGTGCTGTTAGAAGGCTTTGCCTCACCTCTACAAACCCGTGTTTCCTCACATTACACTCTTGGCATGTTCACCGCCATGTTTACATTCATTCCTCTTGCATCCGTGCGTTTTTGTGTTCCTGCATGTTTGCGCATGCACTTCTATTGCCTCGGGGCAGGAATATTCACTACCGCCAACTTCCAGGTGAACATAATTGACATTCCCTGAGGAGAGGCCTCCTGCTACAGTACAAGGCAGGACACGGTGACAACCTGGTATGTGTGAAGATATGTTGGAGGCCCACCAAACGTTCGTTTCCCAGATTTTAAAACCGTTTGTGTTTGACATCCATCTTTCATTCAGAGATTTCCTCCTTTGCCAGAGCAAATTGCAGGAATTCCACGGAGTTGCTGCGTTTCAGTTGGAATTTTTTGGTCAGCCTTCAGACTCACCCATTACGTGTAAATAAATCCGTACCTATTGTGTGTTATTTGTCTTTGTTGTGCAATTTTGACACGTGAAGCAGGGGGTGGAGAAGAAGACTTAAGAAAATAATATGCTTGGAAACTAAGTACGGGAAAGGTCTCAGATTTAGAGCTGAACCAACATAATAAAGGAGCTGGCATGTCCCTTTTTTCCCTCCTAAAAATCACCGTGGCATTGGACAAAGAAGGGTTGTCAAATAGGCATCAGAGTGAAACCTGTGTGAGCAGAAAGTCTTATTAAGCTGACCAGGCATGACTAATTAGATACTTAAAAAAAGAGCAGAAAAGAGGAAGAGAAGGTCAAGAAACCGTAGGAAATACCAGACACCCGACGCAGCTTTAGGTCTTAACAGGTGAGAAGAGTGCAGTGTTACGTCTTTATTCTAAGAACCATTCATTTATTGTCTCTGAACTGGGGTCAGTAGTTCCTTTCAAGAGTTGGCTTCATCCATCTTGTAATCAAATGATCAGAAAAGGCGTGAAAGACGTGATTTTCCAAAAGGCGAAAGGCATTCATGCCGTAAAGCACATTTATGTGAGGTCAAAAAGGACAGGCGAGGACGAGCACACATGCAAAGGAGGGTTTTGTGTGCACATCTTGTCACGCACATGCATGTGCACGCTTTCGTTACGGTGCTTGGCTGAATCTCTAACAGCCATGTTGCTGTTGGCAGCTTAATCGCCCTTGACAACAGCCTAATTAAGAGACGCTGTCCTGGAATCCACTGGTTCTCTGTGCCAACCTCCCCTCATCTTCCTGTTTAGCCCTCTTTCCCTCCATCTGCTCCCCTCTTCTGGCCACTTTACCCACTCTCTCATTGATGCTGCTCTGGGGATGACACTTAGCACCTTGAGGGAAGTAGCTCAGCGTTGGACTCCAAAGAGATCAGAATCAGAATCAGAATCAGAAAAGGTTTATTGCCATTGTTAGTGAACAAACGATTCACAAACTAGGAACTTGCTTCGGTACTAACGTGCTACATATAACATGAATAATATAATTAAAAAATAGAATAAAGTAGAATAAAATATAATAAACCAGCATAAAACTTTGCTATAAAAAATGGCAGGTAAAGGTAATATGGCCGATAACGTGACGTTATGTCAAGTACCGAAGACGAGCATGGTTGTGTGTTTATAAGCTGTTCACAAGTCTAACGGCAGATGGAAAGAAGCTGTTCTTATGGCGAGAGGTTCTGGTCCGGACGGACCGTAACCTCCTGCCTGAGGGAAGAGGCTCAAAAAGTCTGTGACCCGGGTGAGAAGGGTCAGCTGCTATCCGACCTGTACGGCCCCGAGTTCTGGAGACGTACAGGTCCTGGAGAGATGGAAGGCTGCAGCCAATCACCTTCTCAGCAGAGCGCACAATGCGCTGCAGTCTGTGTTTGTCCCTCACTGTGGCTCCAGCGTACCACACAGCGATGGAGGAAGTGAGGATGGACTCAATGATGGCCGTGTAAAACTGCACCATCATCTGGGCCGGCAGCTTGGCCTTTTTCAACTGCCGCAGAAAGTACATCCTCTGCTGGGCCTTTTTGATCAGGGAGCTGATGGATGGCTCCCACCTAAGGTCATGTGTGATGGTGGTTCCGAGGAAGCGGAAGGAGTCCACAGTGGTGACGGGGGTGTCCGTCAGGACGAGGGGGAGAGATGGGGCTGTGACTTTCCTGAAGTCCACAATCATCTCCACTGTCTTCTGAGCATTGAGCTCCAGGTTGTTGCTGCTGCACCAGTACACCAGCCGTTCCACCTCTCTCCTGTAGGCGGACTCATCACCGTCAGAGATGAGCCCGATGAGGGTGGTGTCGTCCGCAAACTTGATCAGTTTAACAGAGTCATGGCTCAAGGTGCAGCAGTTTGTGTACAGGGAGAAGAGCAGAGGAGAAAGTACACACCCCTGTGGCACAAAGAGATGTGTTTTCCCTGACTTCAGTGTCCCACATGTGCAACAGTCCAGGTTGTCCTCTGAAAGACCCAAAACCCTGATTCCTGAAATGCACCACTGTTTTAATGAAAAGAGCTTTTAGTCGTGGTTTTTGGAATTAGTTTTGATCTTTATTGGTTCACAAATGTCTCCGGCGCTCTGCCTTTCTCGTGTTTCTCCTCTCTCCATTCTTCTTTCTTCATTTGTGTCTTATCCACTGAAGACGCAGACAGACTCTTACGACTCAAATGCCATTTAAACAAAAATTTCTGAAGCCACTGTGATTATCTCTCTTTTTTTTCCCTTTTGTCAACATCCGGACAACAAAAGGAGGGAAGACGTTCTCAGACAGCAGACACGTTTGGATATTCTGGGCCACCTTGCACATCGGAGTCCAGCTGCAGCACAAAGACACAATAAAAATGCAGATCGCCCTAAATCAGTAAGAACCTGTGTTTTCTGCCCGGACAGGAGCCAGACAAGTGTTTTGAGTGTGACTCCCGGCATCCCTATGATTCGTACCGCCACAGGAACAGTCACCGCATCGACAATGTCATCTACCTCATGGATAGCAATGGAGACCACACCTGGTGGCAGTCCATCAACGGTGTGTATTTACTCCACAGTAGACAAACGACTGCTGCTTGATTAAGGTTTAACAACAGGTGTAGACTGATGAAGATATAAAAATTTATGGATTTTGTGTCCTTTCCAGGGAAGGAGGATGTCAGCGTCAGACTCAACCTGGAGGCTGAATTCCACTTCACACACCTCATCATGAAGTTCAAAGTACCCATGCTTTCTTTATTTTATGTGTGCTTGTGGATCTCTGATGGTGGCTTCATCAGATTAAGGGCGCCCCCAAGGGGTGGCCAGGGGTGGCCATGACCACCCCTAGAAAAGTCAGCTTTAATAAATCATGTTAATGTTCAGTCAAAGCATATATTGATCTTGTTTATTCAAGATATAATTGTAAAACCAAATTAAAATAATAAAATTAATAATTAAATAATTCATAATTAATGAAATAATCAGAAAAAAAATGGAGGCACTGCTCGCCATTTAAAAAAAGTTTTTATCTCCATAGTTTTTTTTGTGAACACAGCAACAGGTGAGTTAACCTGAAAAAATAAAGTTGTAAATTAAATTTGGAATAACATTTTAAATAACTGAAATGCTCTTTTCTGAAATGTTTGTTTTGTAAAATTGAAGTAAAATGTTTTGGATACGTACTGCTTTTTTAATATAAATGAATAAAGGAGCAATGCAGCACATCGCCACAGGCTAAATTCTGTGTGCCACCCCAAAAATTAGGGGTGGCCAGATGGGGCCAAACTATCAAATTTTTCTGGAGGCGCCCCTGCATCAGACCAGTTCCTTTCATCTTTAACGAACACTACATTTCAGCTAAATTTAAATTTCCCTCGCTGTGAGTCATTTAGCTGACGCTAGATAAATAAATCACTCTGACAAGCTGTCACAAACGTTCTGTGTTGTCCAAACATTTGGCTCGACTTAAACTTGTGCTACTGTATTCTGTTAGACTTTCCGACCTGCAGCTATGATCATTGAACGTTCAGCGGATTTTGGTCGGACATGGCGGCCTTACCGTTACTTCGCCTCCAACTGCACCAGAACTTTCCCCAGGATCCCAGCCAAGAGCTTGCACCAAATAAACGACGTCATCTGTGAGGAGCGCTACTCTGACATCGAGCCCTCAACAAATGGAGAGGTGAGCATAACGAAGCATCCACGGCATGTTTTAAAAATCCAGCAGCTTTATTCTTAAAAGACCCTTGAAGCAGTTTTTTTTATTTTACAGAGGAAACAAAAGCAACCTTTTGGTGAATTATTAATGCAAACACACGAAACAGATCCTTTTCTTTTAGTTTTTCCATGGATAATTGTCTGTGATCCCTATTGGCACAATTCTGTTGAGCGTTAGAGGCGGTGCTGTTACCAATACTTTGGGTGTTTCTCAATGCCAAGGAACCTTGCCTTGATGTCTTGGCCCCGCCCCGGTTGCCTTGGAGATACGTCATCGGGAGCCACCAAGACGTGTTCCAATCTTCATGTTCTACCGAGGCGTGTGTTCTCCGTTTGTTAGCCATTTAGCTAGCTGAGCGAGGATACACGGGAGGTGTCTTGTAGCCTAGCCTTGGTCAAAAATTACCCACAATACACCGCGGTATTTTCAAAAGGATGGTGGATCAGAAGCCAGCAGCTACTTCGGGGACAATTTTCAAATTTAAAAGTAAGTCGGCTAATTTAAAATGTTTTTTTTTAGATCCAAAGAAGTTATCTATGGTTGGTTAGTTGCTTAGTAGTTGCAGCTTCAGTGGCTAGCGGGTAATAACTCACTTATATATTTAATTAAATAAACATATACACAATTTAAAAAGTAAAAGGCTCATTATATATTTATATTGAAACTAATACGTATAAAATATAACGTCTCCCGTGTCACGTGATGATAAGTGACCGCCGTGGAAGCCACGGTCACGTGATGCAAGTCTGTTCCATTTAACCGTTTTCTTTGACCAAGGAAGGACAGTATCCTCATAAGCAAGGCGCCTGGCCTCGCAAGGCAAGGTTCCTTGGCATTGAGAAACACGCTTTGTCTTGACTTTCCCAGAAGCTGGAATGGGATGATGCCACACATGAATGAATCCAGCCAGAAAACATTTTCAGTGCAAACCTAGATCCAGAAAACATTTTCAGTGCAAACCTAGATCCAGAAAACATTTTCAGTGCAAACCTAGATCCAGAAAACATTTTCAGTGCAAACCTAGATCCATAAACATAAGCCGAACAGTTTTGTATGTGTTGTTTATTGAATGTTACAAAAATAGACAGTCTAAATATTGTTTAAATGTCAACCATCACCACTTTTGTATTCCAACAAGCAGCCATGATGGAATTGGAAGTCGAGGCTTGTGCAAAACTTCTGATTTTCCCAGTCAGACTTCTGGAATAATTCCAGTTGGTTTGCAATCCTTATGAGTTCAAAAGGAGCACAAGTTGCATCAAGTGGCTGGTAAATGAATCCTAATGACCTGATCAAACCTGGGCTTACGTGTCGGTCTGCTCTTTATCGGTACGTTTCTTTTTAAATAGCAGGCTTGACGCATTTGTGTCAACAACAACTTTGTTTGGGCTTTTCCCGCTGCCGCATGTCGCCTCCCGTGTGTCAGGTCATCAAGGCGAAAACGAAGACTTTCACTGATCGATGTCGTTTGTCGCCTCTCGCGAGTCGAGCCCATTAATACTGATGCATTCAAACTGCCAACCAGGGCAGCAGGAGCTCAGGAGGTAAAGCGGGTTGCCTTGTGATCAGAGGGTTGCAGGCGCAATTCCAGCTCCCGCCAGGGGCATTCTGATGTTGTGTCCTTGGGCAAGACACTTCACCCAACTTGGCTGTGTTGGTGGTGGTCAGAGGGGCTGATGGCAGCCTTGTCAGACCACCCAAGGGCGCGTCGTTTGGAATCGTAGGATGTCCAAGAAAGATCCCACCTTTCTGGCCTCTGATTGGCTAGAAGGGCTCAACTACGATTAGCTATTTCATGTAACAGCAAACCGAGTTCCCTCGCTGCAGGGTTTTTATGTCTGCAGCAGCGACTGTCGAAAGAGATCTTGAGGAGCTTTCAGAAGAAAATGTGGATTTAGCGCCATAACAATCATTCCGTCCTGCTTTGCAACAAAACTGCTCCAGTTTCTTTCATGAAAGAACCTGAAAACTTCAAATGTGAACTGTAATGAATTAAATTACATGTTATTTAATAAGCCATAAGGCGTAGGATTCCATAGGAAATATGAAATCCACCTTATGGAATGTGAGGTTATTTTAATTGGAACTTTTTGATGCAGGGATTAGATAACAGCTTCGTATTCACTCAGAGACAACAGAAGAGAGAGAGTCGCGATTAGAAGTTTAAGAATTTTATTACTAACATATTAAACTAGACTGACTTTAAACACTAAATGTATGGTGTAACTAAGGTGAATGAGACGGAGAATGGTGTAGTGTGGAATGTTGCTCAGAACCAGCAAATCCGAAGCTGCACTTAGTTCTGATGGGAACTGAAGATGATGTCTTCGCATTAAGCTTTGATTAGGAGATTCATAAACACATTTGACGCCATTTGTCGACCTACATACCCTTAGCGGAAGTCCCCATTAGATCAGGAATGTCGAGGTCCAGCTTGACCTTTTCTGAACCGCAGCCGGTAGGAAAAGCATCGGTTGACGACCAGACCACTCTGTGAGATGCTCCCGGGTCAGGACAATGTTAGCGTCTGGTGAGACCCGAGCCTGGGTCTTGATTGTTCAGCTTTTATTCTGAAAGGAGCCGTTACAGCAGTTTGAACAGCAACAAATTTTCCAGTTTGTCGTTGGTTCTTTGGGTTGAAGAGGAGAGTTACGGATTGGCCACTCCATCACTTTCTCTGGAACGCTTTGAACTGGCGTTAGAGATGACATGGCATGCGCATGCTCCCCCGGGTGGTGCCACCTTGAGTGTGTTCTGCACCTTTTGTTCTGGAGCAGCGCCTGGATCTCTGGGACTTGGAGCTCCCTCCGTCTCCTACACATCTTTGAGGGGCAGATCTGTGGTCCCTCACACTCTCTATTGGACGCTTTTATAGAGAAACCTTACATAAACAAGCGCGTGTACACACACAGGTGCTCACATGGTGCTCTCAAAAGTATGGGCTTTGGCACGTTCAACACATGTCTTAAGGCTGTCGTTGCCACTAAATGCACTATGATTTATTATCGTTTGATTGGTCAGTTAAACAATGTTGATTTTATATTTCATCATCAGGCAGTGATAGCTTGCTCCTGATGTATTGTTGTGTCCCATTTGTTTCCTATTCTTTATCTTTCTGCAGGTCTAGAAGCAGACTCTTGTTCATTATTGTTTATTTTTGTAAAAAAAAAAAACAGAGAGAGAGAGATGACATGGCATAGTTTTATACTTCGGATGTTTTGGTTTATGGTCGAATGAAAATTTGGCAGAGTTACCAAACACCATCAAAACCATGCCCCCGTCAGATCTGGCAGATTCTGATTGGATCAGTGAAAGTAATGTGTCATGTCTTTTAACGCTATGTGAAATCAGTCCTGTTGGAACATTTAAAGTCATAGTACCTTTATATTCTATAGGATTATAATAAAGTAATTAATATTTTGATCTCACAGGTCGGTCACATCTTATTCATAGACTAACACTTTGCGTGATTAGCTTTATTAAAATAGAGTTCTTTGATTAATTAAAAGAAAAGAGTCCATTCTTCATTCTTCTGTTGAGCTGAAAATAAGCAGGTTAGCATGAGACCTTGAGACTATCTCTCATGCAGACTAGTCCTGTGTCAGAGGAGGGGGGTAAACAGTCATTTCATTCTGTTACAGAACTTATAATAAACCTTGTTGCATTTATCACACATTTGGACTGACTTTATATCTGTTTACACTCGTAATATTAATAAGATCTTTTTGTTATTCTAGAAGAGAAACAGACCTGCTGCACACAGCTGGGCCAAATAGGGCAGTTTTATTATATTTCATACCCAGGTAGGGCACATGTGTTTATCCTATGTACTAAGAACATCAATGCTTCAGACCCAACAGATATGATGCAAGTCCAACTGTGTGATAAATGTAACAAGAATTGATTATAAGTTCAAATTTAATGTTTTTCAGGGTCTTTTAATTAAGAGAAACAGAAAAAAATATTTAGCAGAACAGGACAGAAAGGTTTTTATAGCACTAAGTTCATATTTTCTTCACTAAACTCCCCAAGATCTGGCTGCAGACGTAAAAACCTGCAGCGAGGAAAGACAGTTTGCAGTTACATGAAATAGCCAATCGTAGTAGAACTCTTCCAGCCAATCAGAGGCAAGAAAGGCAGGATCTTCCTCGGACATCCTAAGATTCCAAATTAGTGTAATTATTAATTAATAATAATAATAATAATAATAAGTAATAAATGGGAGAAAATATTGTAAAAAAACTAAACGAACAAGGAAAAATTTAACTTCCTTTGTTCATTAAAAACCTTTAAAATCAGGATGGAATGCCGTGTTTAACACCCATTTATAACTTTTACTTTGACAATATATGTTTTTATTTTTCTGACATAATGGATTGAAATGATTTGAGCTTTAATCTCTGAGGTTAATGTGATTTTTTTTTTCTGAATTTCTCCACTTTTTAAATGTGGACTGAAGGTCATTTTCAAAGTTCTGGATCCTGCAATTCCAGTGGAAGACCCTTACAGCCTGGACATCCAAGGTGTGTGTGTGTGTGTGTGTGTGTGTGTGTGTGTGTGTGTGTGTGTGTGTGTGTGTGTGTGTGTGTGTGTGTGTGTGTGGTTTTTAAATTGTGCTTCTGTTATCTGCGACCTTTTTCTGTTCCTGGAATCCCCTTTTTTGTTTCCACGCTTTAGTGGATCTTTTGTTTGCTCTGGCTTTGTCGTGTAGACTGATTACTTCTGTGTCAACAACATTTGTTTGTCTTGATTTTGGAATTAAATGGTGATTCTGTTTGTAGCTGAGTGAAAACGGAAACTCTCAGTTAATACTAATTTACTACAAATAATTTCAGGATGTTGCATCACTGTTTAAAGGGTGGAGTCTTGCTTCACCCACTGGACATGCGGGGAAAAAGAAAAGCTCCACAGATCCACGACACATCTGGACGGGGAAGGCTGTTGGCTTAGCGTCCAGGATGGAGTAGAACACTTCTAGGCTAGTAGAAACTAACTGTTAGTATTAGCAACTCCACCACACAGCAGAACTTCTTCAGACTTGTGTTATTTGTGGAGATAAGACATCAACATGAAGAGTGAATGGAGTCAGTGGTAGAGTCGTGTTGCTGTTAGCCAATCAGAGGAGAGATAACAGAATATCCCCCCCCCCCCCCCAACCCTTTCAGATAACTCCTACTTCCTGAAACAAGGGTGCCAGAGCTTTTTTTCCATAGAGATTCACTCATAAGGGATTCATCTACACCAGCGACCACAGTAACTGTGTGTAAAAAACACGAATGAATGAGTTTTAAAATACTTCTCTATTGTGTTGTTTTCCCAAACAAATAATACAAAATAAAAAAGTAAGTCAAGAAAAAAACAAAAAAGTTTTAGAGAAGATCCATCTTCAGTGTTATTTATTTTCACAGAACTTCTGCGAATCACCAACCTGCGAATCAACTTCACAAAGCTCAACACTTTGGGAGATGACCTGCTTGACCGTCGCTCAGACGTGTTGCAAAAGTATTACTACGCCATTTATGAGCTGGTGGTCCGAGGGAGCTGCTTCTGTTACGGCCACGCTTCAGAGTGCGCCCCGGTACCAGGAGTGAACACTCGGGAGAGTGGGATGGTGAGTTATCGCACCATAGTTGTGTTTACTACAGGCTGACAAGCACGCTGGTAAAGAATAGGATAAACTACCGACCACTTGGGCAGAAATCAGGAATCTTTATGTCCAAAATCATCCAAACCTTGATCTGATCTCAAGCCTGAACACGTTTTTCTGCCGTGTATCGAGTCTGATCTCAGACGTTGTTGAGCTCAACTTCAAGTAGACTTTCTGCCACAGGAGGATTGATTGATCTGAATATCCGTAGTTTTGGTACAAACATTATTATAATCAATCAAACTTTATTTATATAGCACTTAATCATGCAATACAAGCAACTCAAAGTGTTTAACAAATTAAAAAGGCTCCGCATGCCCACATTCCCTCCCATCCCCAGAATTTAAAAAACAGTCTGACAATAAAAAAAACCTTCACAACACTCATCCTTCGGCATGCACACACACACACACATACACGTGCACACGCACACATACACACATCCCCCCCCCCCCCCCCCCCCCCCCCCCCGGAAAAAAACACGATGGGTTGAGATCAGATGAGCCAGACCAGCTAAGATGAGGATAAGGAAACGCCATCAGGGGAGCCATCCGCCCCGACAGCAGCAGATCCACGGCAGCAGCCGAGGCACCGATATAGGGCGCCCAGGGCAGGGAGGGCCTAGACCCCCACCTCCACCCAGGCACACTTGGAAAGCACCCAGGCCACCACAGCTGACCACCGCCCCCGGGGCAGAGGGCTCCCACAGAGGAAATACTGGAAAAGGGTTAAATTAAGGCTAAAATATAAAATCATAAGAGCTAAAATGAGAATTGTAATATAAAAAGTTACATAGATATTAAAATAATGTTGATCATAAATCTATGGTAAAAAGACTCTGTTTGAAAATAGCACGTATAAAGAAATAATACATAAAATAAATAAATGGATAAATGACCTAATTAATTAATTTATTCATTTAAAACGTGATAGTAATCAATTAACCCTCCCACTGTCTTTATGGGTGACCCCGCGAGGAAAGTTGACCATTGAGCAGGGTTGATGGTTTATCCCTTGAGGTCCACATGGAAGGGGTGAGGTGGTGCTCACTCCTCACCCCTGCCATGTGGACCTCAAGGGATAAACCATCAACCCTGCTCAATGGTCAACTTTCCTCACGGGGTCACCCATTAGGACAGTGGGAGGGTTATAAGCTAAGCCAGGGATTCCCAAAGTGTGGTGCGTGAGCTGCCGCTAGGGGGTGCGCGAGGTGAAAAGTGTAATGGCTGCGGAGCTCAGAGAAGTCTGTCATATGTCACCATTATTGTAGAAACCCATTTGTGGGTGGGCCAAAGAAAAAGTAAGTGGGCACAATAAATTTAATTGAAAACAAGTATATTTTTGCGCGCGTGTCCTCCACATGTGCCCTAGCTTCATAATAACAATGCGTCGAGCTTCAGCACTCTGGCCTGCGCACGCCGATATGTTCCGTATTTGATCATTTTAACGGTGTTGGAGAAATCTGAAGGTGGCGAGTCTTTCTGGCAGATTGTAATTAACACCTGTCTCATGCAGGTGTTCTGATTGTAAACCTCACACACAGAACATTGTGGATGTAACAAAATAACAAGAAATGATTCCCATTCAGGCTATTGACAGCGCGCTTAAGATCTGAAGTTCAGAGTGCGTCTGTCAGAGGTCAGACGTGTTCCAGCGGAACCACGGCTCACGGGTGCACATGTGAGCACATCTGGGCTGGGGAGAAGTTTAAATAGCGCCAATAACGAGACGCGGTGACTTGAGCGGCTGTGCCGCAGCGCGCGCACACACACAGATTCAATAATCGCGCACGCTGCTTTAACTCCGGCGCGCCGTCAGACTGAAGGCAGAAATGAACGCTGCCTCCACCACGATAAAAACTTTTAAGAGGTTATTTTTCATTCAAGGTCAAATTAAGATATTAGCTTCTGGGATGAGTCGGGTCCGCTCCAGCCAGTGACTCCTCATGAACCTGACCACAAGTTCTGTCACTGATTCCAGTCAGCGTGGCAGCGGATCGCAGATTCAGCCACACCATAAAACAGCAATAAGTCGGTCTGAGGTAAAAGTGAACATCATGGCTATATCTTGTCCCCTATAGACATTTGATTACGCACAAGTAGGTGATCAGTTCAGGTTTACGCAGAGCAGAAGGAAGGAGAGAGCTCTGGCCGCACAGGTTAAACGTTCCTACTTTAAGAAAACCGTTAAATTGCATTCTTTATGTGCTACCTGGGCACTCCAAATATTTATTTAAAATGAAATCAAAGGAAATTGTAATGGTATCGAATGTTTATTAATTACTATTTAAAAAATGAAAGTGATGGGGAATTTTTTTAACCCTGTCTCTTTAGCTTGACATCTGATATATATATATATATATATATATATATATATATATATATATATATATATATATATGTATAGAGCCATGCCCCGATGTGGGGGCGGGGGCGTCGACATGGTCAGGACATAGAAGGGGGTGCGCGGCTAAATAAGTTTGGGAACCACTGAGCTAAGCTAAAAAGACTGGTCTTTAGCCTGTTTCTAAAAACATGAACGTTCTCTGCGGCCCTGAGTTCCTCTGACAACTCATTCCAGAGGCGAGGACCGTAGTACTGGAAGGACGCCTCGCCGTGAAAGAGTCCTGACTTTAGGGATGACAAGGAGACGGCTGCCAGAGGAGCGCAGTGACCGTGTGGGCTCATACGGTATAAGCAGTTCTGAAAGATAAGAAGGCCCAAGACCGTTAAGACACTTAAAAACCGTTAAAAGTATCAGTACTGAGTCTATGCTAAAGGGATGAGACGGATACTTTATTGGAGTTTCTCATGTTTAATTTGGGAGAATTCCTCATGCATTTAGACTTCCTCACAGACTCTGGTAGTTCATCTTCTCTCTCCAGTGCCTCACTCCGCTTTCTTAGAGAACAATTGTTACTGCAAATGTTCAAAAGCCATACTAGGCAACTTTTTATATTTTTTAGTTATTTTTAGGCCATTATGTCCTAAAATGGCCCTTTCCAGTGGTCATGGAATGTCTGTCAGACCCCACCTGTGGCCAGAATACCGCACTTGCAACTTAAGAGTAGTTGGCCGCTCCCCGTTAGTCTTGGTAAAGTGGAGCTGAGACGTGCTGCTTCCAGCATGTTTCCTGCAGGTTTTAGATCTTGAACACAGCTGCTTAGTTTGCTTTAGTGATGCATCGCTCCTGTAGACACTAATGAAGGTTGAGGAGACATTTCAGCTGTTAGATGAAATTATGGTAAAAAGACGAACGCGCAACGAGGAGAAAAGTTTCACTTTTGGTTTAGGGAACAGACTCTAGGAGGTGCTAAAACAAGCCAACACTGCCAAGTTTCCCTTTAAGAATGTTAATTCCTGTTTGCCCGAAGTGAATATTGTAATAATAATCGTGATTGTTTAACATTTCAAATAAAAAGTATAAAAATTGGTCTTCTTAACGCCTACCTGGTATTTACTCGTTACATGATCAACAACAACATTTGCAGCATTGCAGCACAGAATTCCCACAAAAATAAATAAATCATTGATTTTTGCTTCTTTTCTTCCATTCTGTTGTTCTCTGATTGACCAGATCCACGGTCGATGTGTTTGCAAGCACAATACTGAAGGTCTGAACTGCGAGCGTTGCAAACCTTTCCACAACGACTCTCCATGGAGACCAGCGGAGGTGGAGGAGCCCCACACCTGCACAGGTAGTCATGTAGCCTCTCACGTAACAACGACTCGATTAAACTCTTCATGACTTTAAAGAATGGCTTCAGAAACTAAACTCGCCCGCAGGTGAGTCAAGGTTGGAGTCCGTGTGTTAGATACGTCTTTTATTAATGATGTATTTGGTTCCCTCTCTGTTGGTGAATTTTATCCAACATCAAAAGAAAACTGATCTGTCGCTAATGATCAACGCACACAGAAAAATAGTTATTTTGCTCTGAAAAACCAAAATTCAAAACGCCATAGAACAAAAACGAGGAACAAAATGCTGAAGGACGCGTAAATTCTCAGACATAAAATGTCTTAAAAGGTTTTTGAGAGCCAACTTTTGTGTTGTTTCCCTTCACAGTCAACACACTTGTCTTATTCTTGTGGTAATAATCCCAAATCCATGCCACTTTATTGGATTTCTTTGCCTGTTTTTCCAGAATGTAACTGTAACGGCCACTCGGACCGCTGTCACTTTGACATGGCCGTGTATTTGGCCACGGGGAACACTAGTGGAGGAGTTTGTGACGACTGTCAGCACAACACCATGGGCCGTAAATGTGAGATGTGCAAACCGTTCTACTACCAAGACCCTAACAGGGACATCAGGGACCCACGCGCTTGTGTCGGTGAGCTATTTCCTTTTTCCCATGGCTGCTGTTCTCACTAATCCTGAAGAAAGTGCACAAATCTTGTTTGTCTTCATGTAATTGTTTCACCTTTTCACCGTTCACTTGCACCAAGGCGGTGACAAACCTCGGTCTCATCCTTATTTTTCTTATCCTCGGACTCCTGCTTTTGCTGATTTGATTTTTTACAAAACAAAAAAAATGTTTTATTACTGTGTTTTTATCATTGTTGTTATTATTGGCTGCCTTTGCGTATAGGGTACCATTTGTAAAGTCAAACATTCCTGACTTAACAGCAATATTTTGAGTTATTCAGCCTCTTGTAAAAAAAAATGGGAGCTCATTTTTCAAAGTCATATTTTTACGATGTTATTCATACATTTACAAATGTTACAGATCCCACCTAAATATTTAGTTAGCAAACTAAATATTTTATTTAGAGGCCTAAATGTTTAGTTCATAAAATAAATATTTAATTGACTTACTAAATATTACATTTGGAGCAAAATGTTTAATTTACAAACTCACTATTTAGCTTCAAATAAAATATTTATTTTCCTAAATAAATATTTAGATGCCAGCAAAAAATTTTACTACGGGGCTATACCTAAATATTGAAATTTCAAAATTAATATTTAAAGATGTATTTAGGAAAATAAATATATAATTTTGAGCCAAATATTTAGTTTGTAAACTAAATATTTAGCACCTAATTGAATATTTAGTAAGTAATTTCAATATTTATTTCTGACGTAGATATTTATTTTGTAAATGAACATTTAACTTCTAAATAAATATAAATTTTCCAAACTAAATATTTAGTTGGGAACTTTAATATTTATAAATGTATTAATTACATGGTGAAAATCTGATTTAGAAAAATTAACTACCATTTTTTTCCCGTTATGATGGACTAATAACCCAAAAAACTGCTTTTAAATAGCGACTCTTTGACTTTACAAATGGCACCCCATATTTGCCGACAGATCATCCTGATCAAACTTTCAGAACGTGATCATTAATCTGGCTTTTTCAGGCAATCTAAATCAAGACAGTCACCAAAGCTACGAAACAAAACCTTTTGTCCTAATACAAAATCAGATTCTTCCCATTTTAATTTGATGGTAAAATACTGTTGAATGAAATAGTTTTCTTTGTGCACGCTGAAAAGCTTTGGCTGCAGAGCTCTGATCATTCCTGGGCGGCCTCCCTTCAGCACGACCAAAGCCCCTCCCGGGGAGGCGTCCAAAAGGCATCCTGACTAAAATAAACATTTAAAAAATATTTTCAAAAGTTTCAAAATAAAATACTTTAATAGCAGTTTAAAGGTTATTTTTTAATCAGATGTATTTATTTGAAAGGCAAAAATGTTTGTATATTTAAAAATATGGCAAACCACAACAATAAAGACAACCGTCGATTTGACCAATACTGAGCTAAAATCTGGTGCAGTAACTAAGAGCTGTTGAACTTTTCCGCTCTACCTCTAGCCTGTGATTGTGATCCGGTGGGGTCATTCGAGGGGGGCATCTGTGACAGCCACACCAACCTGGATACGGGGATGATCAGTGGACAGTGTCGCTGTAAAGCGAACGTGAAAGGCCAGCGCTGCGACAGCTGTAAGAACGGTCATTATGGTCTCAGCCAGAGCGACCCGCTTGGATGTCAGCGTAAGTATCTGTGTGTGTTTGTCCGCCACTGAGGCACCTGCAACAGAACCTGCAGGCACCTAATCTTTATCCAGGATGGGTAACGCCACCTATCTATCCACCTTTGTCGCTTATTGTAAAGGAGTTCATTCAAAGTTTTTATTTAACCACAATTAGGATCAATTGTATGGCGCGGTATGGGGGCCAAAATTAAGACTACTGCCCAGCAGCAGGAGGCTATATAAATTCTGAAGCAAACTACTGACCTGATTAATGATAAGCTGGCGTCGGTAACTGAGAGGCTGGCGCTGCTTACTGAGGAATAGCACCTTTACCGGTGTTATTACTAGATACACTAGGGACTAGCAGCCCTCGGCTGGTCATTGACTGGTTCAAACACTCCCTCTGCTGTCTGTTAGCATGGATAGGCTAGCGTTAGCCTGGACGGGCAGGTGTTAGCATTGGAGAGGCTTGCCGTTAGCGTGCCCAGGCTGGCCACTAGCTGGATTTCCTACCTCCTCGACGGACCTTAAGCATGGATAGGCTGGCATTAGCATTGGAGAGGCTAGCCATTAGCATGTCTCGGAGAGTCACTAGTCAGCTAGTGGCCAGCCTAGGTATGCTAATGTCTAGCCTCTCCGATGATAACGCCAGCCTATCCATGCTAATGGTCCATCTAGGGTGTAGGAAATCAAGCTAGTGGCCAGCCTAGGCATGCTAATGGTTAGCATCTCTAATGCTAACACCAGCCCATCCAGGCTAACGCTAGCCTATCCTTGCTAATAGACAGCAGAGGTTTCTTCTGCTCACCATTTTAGAAACAAACGAGATCTTTTTTGTGGATGTGTAAGTCAGCAACAGGCAAATGAAGTAAAGCGTTCTAAGATTCTCTCGACTTCAGTTTGAAATGTCTTTCTGAAAAAAACATGCTCTTCAAATTTGAGGTAAGCATGTTGGATTCATTTCGTTTGTTAATGAAAACGAACAAAGGGGCATGCAATGCATCGCCACAGGCTAAACTCTCCCAGAGTTACAGCACAGACCAATCTGGTGCACCATCCCAAAAATGTCCTCTAGCCCCCTCCAGCCACCCCTGTAAAAGATTCTCTGGAAGCGCCACTGACCGTACGTGTTTTCTCCATCAGCTTGTAATTGTGACCCTCGTGGCATCATCATGATGGACGCTCCTTGTGATCAGATCAGTGGAGACTGCTCCTGTAAAAGACATGTGATAGGACGCTACTGCAGCCAGTGTGAGGTTCGTAACACCTCTTCTCATTAAAGACGTTGAATATTTTATACCCGTGGTGTATGTGCCTTTGGGCATCCTGGACTTGAAGACTGGTTTTTCACCCCTAGCCTGAATACTGGGGCCTCAGCAACGACCTGGGCGGCTGCAGACCTTGTGACTGTGATTTTGGTGGAGCCTACAACAACCGGTAAAAACTTAAATATCTCAGACAAGCCTTTAATTTTCAGAGGCAGTAGCTTGGTCTGATCTTTTTTCTCCCCCCTCTCTCTCTATGTGACACCAGCTGTATGATGGATAGTGGGCAGTGTGGCTGCAGGAAACACTTAATCGGTCGACAGTGCTCGGAGGTGCAGCCTGGGTATTTCTGTGCTCCTCTTGACTTTTACACATACGAGGCTGAAAATGCAAACGGAGTCCCTCCCACAGACTCCTCGCTGCCGGTGAGCCTAACTCTTGCACAGTACGAGGCAAAGGGTGATGAGTTCTTAGTAAACAGTGCTGTTTGTTAGCACAGCGCTAAATACTTTCTTTTTTCACGCACATGTGCTTTCAGATTTATTTGTTCTTGTTACGGCCGCAGGTTGTGTGATTTGACATCTTGCTGAGACTTTTTGGCCATCATGTGTATCAACAAACAAGACGTCCAGTAGAAGTGACGATCTTTCGACCTCGTAATCCTCGTGCATTTAAACATTTAACATTTAAAGGTCTTATTCACTCAAACTGTTTAACACTTGTTCTTGTTTCATGTGCGTGCTAAACGAAAATCGCTTGCATTAGCTGCATAAACAGAGTAGACGGCAAAACAACAGGCTCTCTTTTATAGAGCTCCAGGAGTTGACGTCATTTCTCCCGGCATGCAACAGTTTAAATCGAAACGGCGCCATCTTGGCAGGCAGAAGCCCGCAGCTGGACTATTTGTTATTGTCAGAAAACTCAATCAAACGAGAAATATGGTAGATTCCTGTTGTGCCCCAGGATGCAGAACAGACGCGGACGACATAAGGAATGAGCCTTCTACAGGATTCCCCAACATCCGGAACGCCGCAAACGTTGGATCATTGTAATGAAACGTGCTAGCCTCCAGGCTAAAATTAAACTGTGGGATCCCGAGAGTAAAGGTTTTCGCTTATGCAGCGACCACTTTATATCAGGTAGTTAAACCAACGTTTTCTCAACTGTGTATGGTATTTATTTTAAATGCTTTTATTACGATTCTTAGTGGGCTTCCTAAACTTATTTTGGCGTGGCTTTTTCTGTCTTATTACTCATAGCAACAAGTAAACGTCACGTAAAACGTTGCCTCGTGAGTTCTGCGTGCTGCCGTTTACGTGTTTTATGATCACAGCAATTAACCGGCTAAGCTGTATTTAATTTTTAAGCAATGGTTGATCAATTGTCAGATCACACATAAAAAGCACTTTGGATTGCTATTATCTGTCTCACCGAGACAGCTCTCAGACAGATCCTGAGACGCTCCTGCCTGACATATTTATTTTATTCATGGAAAACAATCAAACTAGTGATTTCTCTTGGAGTTCAGTTTATACATTCAAACAGCAAAGCACTCTATTTAAACTACTTACATGTAAATCTGTTATTTGTCCATCCATCCATCCATCTTCATCCGCTTATCCAGAGTCGGGTCGCTGAGGCAGCAGCCTAAGAGGCCCAGACTTTCCTCTCCCCAGCCACTTGGGCCAGCTCCTCCGGGGAAATCCCAAGGCGTTCCCTGGCCAGGTCCGCTCCGACTGCTTCTGGCGTTTTTAAAAAGTATCCCAGGGCCATGGTAAGGGTCGGAGATGTTTAGTCTATTTAATTTCTGACTTTATAAAACGATTTATTTTGTTTTAAAGTGTGAAGTAAACTCCGACGTAGTAAAATCCAAACCAATCCCGTTCATTTTGTTTACCTTTGTTGCCTGCCAACATGGCGTCTACTCTCTGAGAGTCACGTGACGTCCGGAGCTCTATACCACAGGGAACATGAGTATTCATGGCCCCGCCCACTTTATATGTGGGCCACTGGAAAGAGCAAAGCCATCTGGGCTAAGAGAAGCTAGCCATTAGCAGCTCCTCAACATGGCGGAACGCGTCGGTGCTTGTGTTATTTATGGATGTAAAACATCAGTTTCTTACCGAAGAAAAAAAGAGTGAACAAAAGCAGCGGATGAATCATATTGCTGCTAGCCAATCAGAGAAGAGAGGTTTGCATGTCATGAATATTAATGAGCGTGACTCCAATTGCACCTACCTCCACAAACTTCCCTAGAAACAGGAGCAGCAGAGCTTCTTTTTTCCATGGAAAATGCACCACGGAGACATTTACTCTTTCTAGAACCCACAACAAATTTATAAAAATGAAAGTGATTGAGAGTTTTATGAAATAAAAAAGATTATCAGAGAATCTTGGGGTCACTTTTAACTAATAAAGCAAAAAAGCTGCCCCCATAGGCAGCTGGAGACGTGTCCAAAGTAACTTCTAATTTTCATGCTATTCATCTGGATTTTTCAATCCATGTTTGTTTATAAAGCGCCAAATCATGACAAGAGTAATCTCAAGACACTTCACATAGTAAAGATTTCAATACAGGTCAGTTCATTAAGCCAATCAGAAAAAAGTTTCCTATATAAGGAACCCAGCAGGTTGCATCAAGTCACTGACTAGTGTCAGAGACCTTACAGCAAGCATTTAGCGACAGTGGAGAGGAAAACTCCCATTTAACAGGAAGAAACCTCCAGAGGATCCTGGCTCAGTATAAGCAGCCATCCACCACGACTCACAAACACACACACATGCACACACACACACACACGCACGCACACACACACACACACACACACACACCAAGTAGTGATACTATGGTTACATTGTGATTTCTTAGTAAATATTCTATTTGGTGAGAGATAAACTTTATTGTATTTATTCTAGTGAATCTATAATTAAACGGGTAAACTAGTAGTAGCACATTCAATGTCAAAGAGCGTAAAGTGTTATTATCAGGAGAGGGAGAATGTTTAAGGGGCTAGCAGCAGTGTGCTAGACGATGGCCCCCTCCATGAGGGCACCGCAGCTCAGCAGAACATCATTGTAGCTTCTTCTGGGGAGAAAAGCACTTAAAAAATAAAGTTAACAGGCCAGGATGTTGGCCAGTCTCTGTTTTTTATCTTCTGTCTTGTGTTCCCCTGTCTTAGAATTATAAACACAGATTCTCCTGACAGGTGGGTACACTCTAAAAGCGTTTTTCTTGTTAAAAATGTATTTTATTAGATCCATCCCTATTTTGGTGTCATTATCCACCTTAAAATCTGTGAAAACTCACTTCAGTAACGTGCTCCACACAATGTTGCACCTTTAACACGTATGTGACTTTAATTTAAATAACACAATTCTTTAAGGTGATATTGTCTAGATGTTTTTTTTTACTCATCTATACTAGTCACATTGCTGCTCCAGATCAATTCTAAATGTTTATTTTATTTAGGGTATTTATATGCTAAAATACAAGTTTTCTTTCATCCATTCATCTTTTTCCCTTCTGGGAGATGGTCGGTAATCAACGTTTAGCCCTTCAGGCACGCTCCAACAGTCCACACCAACATTTCTGCTGCAGGAATGTGAGGAAAACTGACTTCAGTGACTCTGGAATGTTATGAGAAGGTGGAAAACGGCACAAGGCAACGTGACTAATGTTGTTTTAATGTTAACGTCTAATTTAACAGTTTTTACATGAAGCAACATTAAAAAAGAGCCTATAAACCTTTAAATTTGACAATATTTTATCATTTCTAACACTGACAGATGTCCTGATGGCCTTGACAGTTTTCAGAAGATGACACCGGAGGAAGCTTAAACCTTCTTTAAAGGGTGTTTGTATAAGAAATGCAGGCATCAAATGTATTATTTCCTCTCCGCAGGGCAAGGTTCGTCCTCAGGCTGCAGACGACTGCATTCAGCATCTCAGTAACCAGGCGAGAAGGCATCGGCGACACAGACGCGTTTCAAGTTCGCAGCAGTATCAAGCAGCGCTGAGACGCATCCGGCAGCTTCAGCAGACGGTATCAATCAATCAATCAATCAATCAATCAATCAATACTTTATTAATCCCAGAGGGAAATTAGAGTTTCAGTACATACAATTCAGAGATCAGACATAAATGGGCAAGACACATGACAAGAATTGGTGACTGTGGTCATTCACAATCTGAGTCGCGCTACCTTAACAGAGATAAGAGGGTTACATGAGGATTGGTTCAGGTGGAGGGAAAAAAAGGCACTTCAGAGTTACCCTCCACCGGGAGGGCAGCTTTGCTCTGCAAAAAAACACCTCAAAAAATATGCAACAGACTTCAGACAACACAACATAACATGAGACTCCAATAGGAAGGCGGGGGAGGGGGGGGGGGGGGGGGCTGGGATCCTGTTTCCCCCAGCGAGGGCAGCCATCTACGGCGCACATCTGCTGAACAGTCACAGGCGGGAGGGAGATCTTGGGCGAAGCGAAGAGCACATTGACTCCTGCAGATTGATGACCTCGCCAGGCTGAAGTCCACCAATCCGAAGGCGAGGGGTGTAGGTTGGGTTTTCACAGCATCTGTCTGCATTCCTTTGTGGGGGTTTGTTGCTAGCTGCTCAAGGCTACCAGGGCATCAGAATAGGGTTTTTCAGAAGAAATACAGAGAAGCGCTGTGTGGGCTAACAGGACAAAGAGCCCTGGGAAAAAAGATAAGGGAGCAAAAAGAGAAGCGTCTGTACTCCTCGAGTGCCAGGAAGAGAAAACGCTTTTAGTTACAATTAGAATTTTAGACAAACCACTGGATGGATGCACTTTAAAACTCTCAGAAGGATTTATTGGTTGTTTCTACGTATTGACGTTTGAAGTCGGTACAATTCAAGATGGCTGACAAAGCTAAATGACTTCAGTAAACACAAAAAAGCCATTTTTCTGGCTAGCTGCTGTACTGCGAGCGCCGAACTTCATCTAAGATCCTTGCCATAAAACTTTGGTTTTTACTCCCAACACTGCTGGAAAATCTTAGGTGTGTTCTTGCTGTGTCGTATCTCTAATTCCATGCTGCAGTTTTGTTTGCAGCCGCAAACGAAACGTAGCGGGAAAACAGGTAAACAAAACTGCTCTGTGTTTTAAAAAAGAAGTACAGCATGGAACTGTTGGAAAATATCTAATCCAGTTATTTCCATTAATCTCTAAAAAACTGTTCATTGGATGACCCATCAGTCAGCAACTGGGTATGTTTGGGAGTTAATACAATAAAGATGGCTGCCACAGTTATCCACCTCAAGCCCAGCTTGTGTGGAAAGACAATCGTGCCAATTTTTGACCCAGTCCTCCCGTTTCAACTATTTTACGGATGCGCCTGTTTACCATAACGGCTCCAAAGACACATTTATCAGATATTCCTGTTCCTTAGAGCGCTCTGATCGGCTCAGAAGGACCTTGGGACGACTAAAGCCTGATTCATGCTTCTCCGTCTGTGTCAGTGCGGTGACACGCAATGTCCTTGCGGGCCTGCTGGAGAGCTCCGCAAGGACGGACAGAGTCGAGCTCTCTTTTCTAAACATCCGTCAGTCGAGACGGACAACGCAAGCTTGTAATTGGTCAGGACGCCACTTTCGTCTACACCGCCGCCATTGCGCCCTCAAAAACATAAAGAGAGCCGAGGATAACTAACGGCAGGCACAGAGATGCTTGAAGAATACCTCGTGAAAAAACCCAAAAATATGAACGTTTAATTCCCCGTGACTGGAGGAGTGAAAAGATGCGCAGCAAGCGTTTTATTGGTGGACGGAAATGACAGGAAACGTGGGTTTAGAGGTGGCAAGCAATGAATAGGTGGAGGAAGATGAGGGACAAATTCGTCTGTGATAAAAAGTCTCTTATATACAAAAAAAAACACAATATAAACACACTATCTTGGACCGATACACGACAGGATACCACAGAACAGCGCTACGCCCTCTGCTGTCCTGCCGGGGAATTGCTTTGCAACACTCCCCAGGAGACGGAGAAGTATGAGAGCAAAACGCTTCCGTCAATCCGTGCGTGTGTGTCCCTTGCGGAGCTGACGGAGAAGCAGGAACCAGGCTTAAGAAAACAGATCAGAGAGACCGACGTGTAACCAGTCACAAAGCGATGTGACGGAAGAGCAGTACACCCTTCTCCACCATGTTTGTTGATTCCAAAATCACGTTTGGTATTGTGATGATTCCCGTTGTTTATGGGTGAAATCGGTTTGTGTGTAGTTTGTAGTTTTTGCCGTGTGGTCGCACACACACACTGTTGAATCGCATTTTTGTAATGCCACGTGTGAACCGGGCCTCTGCAAAGACAAAAGGCTATAACTCCTAACTAATCACTGATTGCACGAGATCACGCATGACGTCATTTTAGAGAAATAAAAAAACAATAAAAAATAACTTGTTTCAGAACATTAGAGGATTTTGTTTTTAAGTGGGCATGATTTACATTTTTATTTACAGTCTGAGAAATAAATAATCCCTACTGGTTTTCTCTGCCTCCGTCAGCCCGATGTGACGACCGTCCACAGAGAGCACGCCTCCAGCCACATCGTGACCTGGACTGGACCTGGTTTTGCTCGAGTCAAAGACGGCGCCGGCTTGGTGTTCACCATCGACAACATCCCTTACGCCATGGAGTATGACATCATGATCCGCTACGAACCCGAGGTGTGACTGAGATTGTGTAAAAGAAAGTTTTAGGAAAGTTTTGTCCAACTGTTGCTGTGTTTTCATGCAGTCCACAGAAGACTGGGAGGCAGTGGTCAGTATCACCTCTGTCCAGCTTCCCTCCAGCCTCCGGTGTGGAAACCTCCTACCGACGGAGCAGCTCTACACCGTCACACTGCTGCACCGAAACAGGTACCGACTCCTCCATCTGTGCCTGGCATGTCAATGATGTTTGTGTGTGCGTGTGCATGTGCAAAAGAGAAGGGGCCTTTGTATGTTTGTTCAAGTCACTTCAGGCTTTGTTGGTGTATCCTGGATAACTCGGGTGGGGGAAACTTGCATCATTGTTGTCCCTTGAACTTGCCTCGACTCGTGTTCACTATGCGAGTCAGGTGGGCAAACAAAACGGAAAGGTTTTGTAAGGATCAGGTACAGGAAGGCGGCCGCTTTGTTTGCTGAGGTTAAGGCTGCGGCGGGAAAAGTAGACCGAACCGATAAAAGGGAAATCTGACGGAGAAGTTGTGGCCCTCGTTTTATTTTCATCTTCTTTTGTGAATTTTGAGCCAAAACTGAGTGCGTGCACAAAATCATACATGCATTTTTTTAAAAGTTATTTTTCAAAATCTTTGCACACATGCACTTATTTTGAAAATCTCCTTTTGTAAATAAAAAAAATACCTTGTGCAATTTCCAGTTGAGTGGGTGAAAGAAATGAAATCGTGTGCCTGCTTGTTTTTAAAATCTGAGTTTGACTGCTTTAGAAACCAACGACTGATATTTCGTGACGCTCTCTTCCAGATACATCCAGATGTCCAGGCCGTTCTGTTTTGAGCCCAGTAACCGTTATGTGGTCTCCATCAGGTTCCAGCGACACGGGGTCGCTCACAGACACCTGACCGCTTTTATTCTCATCGACTCGGTGAGTAAAGACCGGCGCTGTCCGTGCAGTCGGGGCAGATGTCGTCTGTCTTCGAAAAAAACAAAGAATTAAACAAATAAAAGTTAAATATAGTTATTAAATATAGTTGTTACAAAGCAGAAAGCCTCCCTCATCTTAGGTTGTACAGTCAACTCCCATTTGTGTGTGAGAAAGTTAATAAATAAGTGTAAACCATAAATGTGTTTTAAGATAATCTTTAGCTAATTTGTGGATTTTTTTTTTTTTTGTTCTTTTGTTGTTTTGAACATGGACGTGCTTAAAACATAGAGGTGCCATGGTGCATTTCTGTGTTAAGGTAGGTTTTTTTATTGGTGAAGAAACAAGTCTCCTTCATGGTTTCCAGGGTAGCAAAGACGGAAATCGGTCTCGGCACACACCTTCCTCCATAACACTTCTGTGCACTCGGCTTGTTAAAAGCGTTCCAGTCGCTCTTCTGTTTGGCTTCCCTGTGGCGTTAATAATCGCTGTCAATGAGTCGTGTTTCTGAACCTGTGAAGTTCAAAGTAATGTAGAAGAATGCATAACTAATGGCTTTGTTCTAGTTGTCTGTGGTAGGTAAGTGCATGCTTGCTGTTCAGAAGGAATTAACTGCCCACTCGTGGTGGAAAAATTTAACTCGATAAAAGTTTTCCTTTTTGTCCCATTTCTTTGTCTGAATGTAGCACACGAGACATGTTCTTTCAGCTTTGTTACGTCCACATCACTTATATATATTATTATGCAAACATGCATTGCAAGAGAGATAAGGCTGATGACCAGCAAATGCAAATGATTGCATCTTATTACCGTACCAGGTTTATTTCTATAGCACATTTTAAAATGGAACAAAGATACAAAATACAGCAAAAAGAAAAAAGTATAAAAAAAACGTCAGACAGTGAGATGCAATGAGACAAAATCAGCATTCAAAAGCAAAATAAAACTGAAGGGTAGATTTTAACCCTCCCACTGTATTTCTGGGTGACCCCGTGAGGAAAGTTGACCATTGAGCAGGATTGATGGTTTATCCCTTGAGGTCCACGTGGCACTCTACAATACATTTGAATTTAAATCTGCCATCGCTATTGGCTAAAAGGTGTCCTATGACATTAGCTGGTACCATATGATGTCACAATGCGGCTGTGAGCCTGTGTATGTTTTTGTTAGTGGCTCCGCCCTCTCCATTTGCCTGGCAACACCTTCTTGTGGTGCATTTTTGAAACAGGAAATGGCAGTGGAGTTAGGGGGTGACTTGCTCTTTAAATTAAGAGAGAAGGATGTTAGATCAACAGATGAGGCGGGCTGGTTCATATGGGGGGGGGGGGAGGATTACGCATGCTTTTCATCTGTTAAGTGAAGGAAGTTGACGGACCAACCCAGGAATGATTGAAATAAAAGCCAGATAGATTTGCCAGTCGTCAGCATAGATGTGGTAGTTAGTCATTGTTGGCTTTTTCTTTCTCAATTCAGTTAATTTGCACTGCGCCAATTATCAAAGTAAACATTCCAATTGAATCTACTTATTAGTGCATTGAGTTAAGTTTCCTTTATAAGGAACCCAGCAGGTTGCATCGAGTCACTGACTAGTGTCAGAGTCTTTACAGCAATCCTCATACTAAGCAAGCATGCAGCGACAGTGGAGAGGAAAACTCCCTTTTAACAGGGAGAAACCTCCAGAGGATCCTGGCTCAGTATAAGCAGCCATCCCTCACGACTCACTGTAAAAAGAAAAAGTTGATCCAACTCAAAAAATTGCTTCAATTGGTAACAAGCAATTTAATTAAGTTTACCCAACCTAAATTATTAAAATTGTACTAATAATTAAAGTTGGATAAACAATTAAATTGCTTGTTACCAATTGAAGCAATTTTTTGAGTTGGATCAACTTTTTCTTTTTACAGTGTGGGGATGGAGAAGACAGAGCACACGCGCACACACACACACGCACACGCACACACACACACACACACACACACACACACACACACACACACACACACACACACACATAATGAACTCAGCTCTTTTAATTTATTACTGTGTCTTAATAGCTTGTGCTGATTCCCAAATACACTGAGCTTCCTGGTTTCCAAGGCAACGCTCCAGCGGCAGAGCAGCACCGGGACGATATGATCCGTTACATGTGTCTAGACTCTTTCCTGATCACGCCGATGCCCGCTCTGGCCGAAATGTGCTCCAAACTCATCTGTAGCATCTCATCCATCCTCCATGACGGAGCTCTGCGTGAGTAAACGAAAAGTTTTAAAGCTCAGGAATGAAAATGTGTCACTATTGACTAATTATTCTTGATTTCTGTCTGCTGCGTTCAGCCTGTCAGTGTGACCCTCAGGGGTCAATGAGCGGTGAATGTGATAAGGTCGGAGGCCAATGCCGTTGCAAAGCGAATGTCATAGGCCGACGCTGTGACCAGTGTGCCCCGGGAACCTACGGCTTTGGAGCAAACGGCTGCACGGGTAAACCAACCGTTCTCAGTTATTCACTAGGAGTGAAGGTCAGGTCAGCAGTTGTCCATTGTGGTAGCATGCATAATTTTACTGTTAAAAACTAAAATATACCTAATGGTAAAATGGCTACGTCCTTAAAAAAAAGAAGATTTAAACCTATAACTTCTGTTCCCTTGAGAAGCAGAATTAGTTTTTATGATTGAAAAAGAGAAGAGAATCTCTGAAGGACCTCCTTCCCTTCTGTTCAGCTTGTAACTGCCACTCCGACGGCTCCCTGAGTCACCAGTGTGACCCGCTCTCCGGTCAGTGTCCGTGCAGACAAGGAGCCATGGGCCGGCGGTGCTCGGACTGCCAACCGGGCCAGTGGGGCTTCCCTAGCTGCGTCCCCTGTCAGTGCAACGGCCACGCTGACCTCTGCCACCCCCAAACGGGACAATGTGCAGACTGCAGGGACAGCACAGCGGGACACCACTGTGAACGGTGAGGAGCCAGCCGGCGTTCTTCGCCTCCTCTGCTTCCTGCTACAACGTTGGGAATAATGGCCGATGTGATTTGTTTCAGTTGTGTGGACGGGTTCTACGGAAACCCGGTGCTTGGTTCGGGGGACCACTGCCACCCCTGCCCCTGCCCTGGGATTCCTGGTTCAAACCACTTTAACGGACTCTCCTGCCAGGCCAACGCCACCTCGGATCAGATCGTTTGCACCTGCAGACGAGGTTATGCAGGTGAGCAGATGAGTTGTTCCGTTAGTCAGCTTGAATACTTTAATTAGGCCAGAACTATTCGTAAACATATGAATTATTCTTATCCGAGGTTCCCGCTGTGACCGGTGTGCCCCCGGTCACTACGGCAATCCAGAGCAGCCCGGAGGACGGTGCCTTCCGTGTGAATGCAACAATAACATCGACACCCAGGAACCTGGGTCATGTGACTCACGTACCGGCGAGTGCCTGAGGTGTCTGTACCACACCGACGGCCCGTCGTGCTCTCACTGCGAACGCGGCTACTTCGGCAACGCTTTGGTCCAGGACTGCAGACGTGAGTGATGAAGGCAGTTTCCTCTAAGTTTCCCAAATATGCGTAGAAGCAGAATTTAAATACACTTCAAATGTAAAGTTTTCAACGGTTATTTTATCGTATTTTCAAATGTAAGTGCCTCTTACCATAAAAGAGCTTGGAGTAGAGCAAATAAACCGATAAGCACCTTAATCCTTGACCCTAGTTTGCACCTGTGTGCCGTCCGGCACCCTGGAGTCGGTTTGCCACGAGGGACGGTGCCACTGCGACCGCCAGAGCGGAGACTGTCCCTGCAGGGACAACGTGAACGGCCACAGCTGCGACCAGTGCTCCGAGAACCACTGGAACTTCGGTCAGGACGGAGGCTGCGAGCCCTGCAGCTGTGACCGGCAACACGCCCTGGGGCCTCACTGCAACTTGGTGAGGAAGCTTGTGCGCGGCTCCAACCGAGCCTGGGAGTGTTGGAAACGTTCCTGACAGAGTGTGTGTGTGTCTTCAGTTCACAGGCCAGTGCCAGTGTCGTCCGGGATTCGGAGGGAAACGCTGCACCGAGTGCGAGCCGCTCCACTGGGGAGACCCGCGGCTGGAGTGCCGAGGTGAATTATCTCAGAAACCAAAGTGCTGTTTTTATCAGCAGCTGCTTATAAGCATGTAGCTTTACTCTGGGCAGTTATTGGTGAGTTTCAGCAGCAGAAAATAAACACAGAAGCAAAAATCTGTGTGTTTCAGGAGCCTGTGCATCTGTTTACTGCCATCCATCTGTTTACCTGGTGTAATCTGCCACATGCTCATAGTATAAAGTTAAACAAAAATTCACTATTCTTTATTTTCTGTGCTGCAGTGTCATGTCTTTGTCCTCTTGCAGCTTTTTCCCCATAGTTAGGGTTTAGATGTGAAGGATGAATGCAAAGGAACAAAGAGAACAAAGGCTATGGGGGAGTTAAAAGGTTAAGAGGCATGAAAACATGTTTTAAGCTAATTGCAGCATTAACGGTAGGACCTGACAATGGCATAGGAACAGGAGGGGTTCTCGGATAAAGAGCAGGAAGCAGCAGGGTTAAAAGGAAAGAAAGAAAGGGATCTTTTATAAAGCGCCTCTCAAGACAAGAATCATGAGGCGCTTCACAAAAACAAAGATATAAGAAAATAGGTTTAAAATGACAAAAAATAAAATTGTGATAAAATAATTTTAAGGAAAGAGGGAAATCGGTGGATCCCGGCAAATGAGAGCAGAATAAGGAGAGGGTGATGAAGGTCAGACCAAAGCCAGGACAGGTGAGTCTTCAGCTGCTTTTTAAAGGAGACCACTGAGTCCACTGGTCTCAGGCTCAGGGGGAGAGAGTTCCAGAGTCTGGGGGCCACAGCAGCAAATGATCTGTCACCGTTGACCTTCAGTCTGGTGCTGCACAACCAGTAGGCTTTGATCACTGGACCTCAGGGACCTGCTGGAGGTGTAGGGACTAAGAAGATCACCAATGTAAGATGGTGCTTGTCCATGTAAGGCTCTATAGACCAGAACCAGGATCTGAAAATGAACCACAACTGTTTCAGGACCTTTTGAAAATAGACTATCATTTATTTAACTAAATCTCAACAAAAGAACATCGGGGCCACTTAAAGGAGAACCATGATAGAGCACGAATTTTAGGTTCCTTTTCTGGATCAATGCTACCGGTTCCTCTCAGCGCAGTGCTGGCCTCTTTTGACTTGGTGTCTAACTGAGCTGGAAAGACGAGTGCAAACCAAAAGCCGGTTGGCTCTCCCTTTGATGCCGCGCCACCTTGTCTCTGTGAGAGGCATTTTCTTCATTGGGCCCATCGACTGTTATAAATGGCAGCTTAAGCACGAGTGTTGTTCCATCATCGCCGACGGCAACGGTAGTCCAGCTGCGATTGAAGGAGCCAGCTTCTGATGTGCCTGTATTGGATGATTACAGGCCCGCCTCTAAACATTCCTTCATGGCTAAGCTGTAGGAGAAAGTGGTCTACCATCAGTTGTTTTTTCTAGGTGAATTAGAGATGTTTGAAATATTCCAGTCAGGATTTAGGGGTGGTCACAGTACTGAATCAGCTCTGTTGCTGATGCTGAATGCAAGGTGAAGCCACGGTGATGTTGTTATTGGATGTAAATGCAGCCTTTGACACGATTGACCACGACTGGGTGGGTATTACCGGGCCGGCCCTACAATGGGTCAAGTATGGGTCAGCTCCAAGGTAGGAATTTCTGTCATGGTGGGTGAAACCTCATCTGCCTGGGAGGACCTGCGTTGGGGGGTACCGCAGGGATCCGTTCTGGGCCCACTTCTCTTTGCCCCCACTGAGGGCCCTCCTATGCAGGCATGGCGTTAAGTCTCACTTATATGCAGATGAGGTTGTTAAAAAAAATAAAACACCAGTTTGTTTTTAAATGAAGAAAAAAATCTAAACCAGTCTAGTCAGATGTGTGGGATGTATGATGTGATGTATGATTGTGGAACGATCTAAAGTATTACTGGTATTTAACGTGTTCTTGAATTTAAATGCAGGCATTCCATGAAAGAACTTGAAATCTGCTTAAACGTCCGGCGTGCTGATTCAGTGTAAATCTAGTGTGCTGTTTTTTCTGTCCCTTTGTTCAGAGTGTAGCTGTGACCCGCTGGGCTCAGAAACCGCCCAGTGTGACCGAAAAACGGGCCAATGCGAGTGCCGGGACGGAGTGACTGGGAGGCGGTGCAACGAGTGCGCTCGAGGCTTCATCGGCGACTTCCCCAGGTGTGTCCCCTGTCATCCGTGCTTCCAGCTGTGGGACGACCACGTCTGCACGATCAAACGGGACTTGGACCACTTCCGGTACACCGTGGAGAAGATCCTGGAAAGCGGGATCTCTCCCGGGCTCGGGGACACGCGCATCAAGGAGCTGGAGAAAAATCTGAACAAGGTGTTGGATCTGATCGGTGCAGGGGACTCCGACGGGGTCCACCGGCTGGTCGCGCAGAGCATCGACGACCTCAGGTGGGCAAGCAGTTGGACGTTTGTAATCTCATTCATTATTTGGTCTTAACTGAGCAGAACCCTTCTCGTGTTTCAGTACAGAGATTCTCCTCACCAACGGACGGCTGTCGGACATCGGCCAGGAGTTGAACTCAACAGCAGTAAAGGACGAGGAGCTGAAGCGGATCCTGAATGAGTTGGAGAAAGAGCTGAGGGACGTCAACGCTACTGTGGCTCACAAACAGGAGCTGCTGGACAAATACCTCACCTCCGGGTTAGCAGGTAAGAAACGTCACATCAGGAACGTAAAGTGAAGTATTTTTGTCCGTAACGGGACAACAATTGTTCCTGTTTTCATACAGATCAGTTTGAAAAAGTGAAGAAGTACAACAGGGAGTCCCTGCAGGCTGAGGAGAGATGCAACGCCTCTGTGTCGGGCCCTGGCAGTCCGGTAGAACAATCCAACAGAACCAGAGCCGTCACAGAGGAGCTGATGAACGTCAAAAAAGACGAGCTGCTCCGGGCTCTGGCTGCTCAGAACAACTCATTAAACGAGTTGCAGCAAAACAGCCACGACCTTGAGAGGAAGGTCCCTCGTCTCAGCGACATGGTGAGCTCCAAGTTTCACTCGTTCACCTGATTTATTCTTCCAGTTGTTTTCTGGTTAATTAAGCACAAATCTTTATACATTTCAGCCACCTTTGACCCCTGCATGCAGGAAGTGCTCCACGTAGCTGCATTTGGCGATATTTATGTTTATGTTTAACCTGAAGTTGTGGATTGTTTTCTATTTAATGTTAATTAGGTCTGTGGCGGTCACAGCAACTCCAGCAGCAACGGCAGCTGCCCCGAAAGCCGGTGTGGTGGTGCAGGTTGCCGTGACGATCAGGGTAACCACGCGTGTGGTGGTGAAGGATGCAACGGGACGGCGGGCGTTGCTCTCGGAGCGCTGGATAAAGCCGGGAACGTCTCGGAGAGACTGAACGCCGCTGATGAGGAACTGCAGGGAGTCATGAAGAAAGTGTGTCTGCTGCCCTCAAGTGTCCAAACAGAGAAGCTGCAGGGAATCTTAAGAAAGCTGATGTTTTCCATGACTGGAGACATTTATCAGTGTTATTTCTTGTGTCCAGCTCCAGGATTTAGCTTCTCTGACCCAGAACGTCAAGAACCAGACCGTGAATGTTCTGACTAAAGCGCAGAGGAAGAAGGAGTATTTTGAAAGCAACAACAAGAAGCTTAAAGACCTCATTAAGAACATCAAAGACTTCCTGAACGGTCTGTGGACGAGTTTTCTTTTCTTGGTGCTCCGACGCTTCCTGCTGTCACACTGCGTTTATTTTCTCTCGTCTTCGTTCTTTTGCCCTCCAGAGGAAGGAGCAGACGCTGAAAGCATCGAGAAGGTGGCTCTGCAGGTCTTGGCGATCTCGCTGCCGCTCAACAAAACCAATCTGGGCCAGATGATCAAGCAGATTAACAACAGTCTGACCAACCTCACCAACGTCGGAGGGATTGTGAATCAAACCTCGCAGATCATCAGAGATGCTAAAGAGCTGCTTGAAAACGCTAAAGATGCCAAGTAAGGCTAAAGAAGGTCCTGTAGCGGTGAATGTTGTTTAAACCGGACTCGTTTACTGAATTTCTTTGGTACTGTGCAGGAACCGAGCTGTGAGGGTGAACGGTCTGGTCAATAACACCAAGCAGGCTTTGGATCTGTCTGAGCGAGCCGTAGAAACAGCAAAGAAAGCCCTGAAGGAAGCCAGCGACAACCTCGACAGCACCAAGAACGCCACCTCTGAGGTACAAGCGCCGAACTCTGGCTGAGAAACGAGAGCTCTGTTGATCTTCCACCGGATCACTGCTGTTCCTGCTCTCAGGTGGAGGAGAGGCTGCAGCAGCTGGAGGACACACAGATGGACGCGATGATGCGTTTGAGCAACCTCTCCGTGGGAGTGGAGGCTCTGAGGAACAAGACGGAGATGAACAGGCAGATGGCGAAAGACGCCCAGGCTCAGGCCAACAACGCCACGCTCCAGGCGTCTTCTCTGGAGCGGGTGGGTACACACTTAAACGCTCCTGACATGAAACGTTTCACCCAAGTCCAGGTTGTCACAAACGAGACGTTCTAACCTGCTGGTTGTCTCCCAGAACCTCAACGACACAGAGAAACGGTACCAGGAGCTGCTGCTGAAGATGGAGTCTCTGGGGGGGGCGGCTGGGGATCTCAGCAGCATCCACCAGAAGGCCAAAGACATGAAGAAGAATGCAGAAGATCTCCTCAACGACGCCATGAGCGGGATTCAACAACTGGATGGTGAGTCCAGCTGGCTGCTCCCAGCTCTTCGACATTTATTTTCCCACTTTGGGAGGTTGTTTTTTACAGAGCTAGATAATGAAATCCACAAACTAACCGATGTTTTATGGAATAAACGTTTTCACACTAACCTCGGCCACGTCTCAGAACTGCTGTTTAAAATATGGTTCACATTAAAGAGCAAGTCACCCCCAAATCAACTCTTTTTTTTCTGATAAACTATATAAATGTGTGTCTAATCGTGCTGCAGACACGTGTAGGCAATAGTTTTGCACTTTAGTGCACCATATTGGAGCAGGGGGAGGGAGACTAGGGGGTCTTAGCACACCTCTGTTGTCGCTTGGCTTCCTGGGGCTGGAGGCTAGGAGGGAGATCTGGCCGTCCGGTTGGGGTCTGGTTGCTCATCAGCACCCCAGCAGAAAGGGTCAATCTCTGGGAACCAGTGATGGTTGTACCCCATGTGCAGCAGTACCGGGACCAGAGTGAATAGGGTGTGAATGGGGAGCGTGAGTGGGTGTCCGGCGTGCATTTTTGTAAGTCTTTGGTTGTATGTGTATGTGTGAGCATGAGGGGAGGGAGTGTGTGACTGTGTTTGTGTATGACTGTATATGTCAGGTGGGACCTTTGACTCCTCCCTTCTCCTGGGACTTCTTTTGATGATATAGATCTTCGTCTCCCCTCCCCCTGCCACACCTGGTGTGGGGTGCGGTGCCTTGGTCTGCCTGAATGTTCGTGGCTCCCGGGTCAGGGGGTTTAAGATTTTTGGCGTCTGCCTGATCAGTCCCGGTGGCTGCCTGGTGGGGTCTGGGTCCCTGGGCTCTGCTGGGTCCCCGGCGGGGGTGGTCACCCCTGGGTCCCGGGCTCGGCCGGCTAGGGGGTGGGAGGCTACGGGCGGGCCTGTGGGTTTGCCGCTGATATCTCCCGGGTCTCTGCCGGCTGCTGGTTGTGACCCTCCCGGGGCGATCCTCTGCGCCTCTCGAGGGGGGCGGGGGCTTTGCTGGTCGCAGTCTCCTTGGGGTTCCTGTGTTCTGGGGCAGTGCCTGGATCTCTGGGACTTGGAGCTCCCCCCGTCTCCTGCGCATCTTTGGGGGGCAGATCTGTGGCCCCTCACACTCTCTATTGGACGCTTTTTTAGAGAAACCTTACATAAACATGTGCGTGTACACACACAGGTGCTCACATGGTGCTCTCATAAGTATGGACTTGGGCACGTTCAACATTTGTCTTAAGGCTGTCGTTGCCACTAAATGCACTATGATTCATATCGCGTGATTGTTCAGTATTTCTTCAAGTTGACGCAGTGATAGCTTGCTCCTGTTGTGTTGTCGTGTGCCCCATTGTTTTTCTCTTCTTTCTCTTTCTGCAGGTCTAGAAGCAGACTCTTGTTCATTATTGTTTATTTACTTACTAATATAATAAAACAAAAAAGAGACTTGTCACCTTTCAGCTTCCCGTACACGGCCTCTGCGGTAATTACTTGTGCCTTCCGCTCCTTCTGCTTCTCTTCTTTGGCAGATCTGGAGAGAAGGTTCAGGGTCAACGAGGACCGGATGCAGCGACAGCGCGACGAGCTGGAAGATCTGAAGCAAAATGCCACGAGCGTACGAGACGCCATCCACGACCAGCTGCAGAAGTACACCAGCTGTCAGTGAGGAGGTGATGATGATGATGATGATGTTACTACAAGTTTCCGGTCTGATTATCTGCTGCTGAGGTGTGTCTGATCCGGTGACTGACTCAGACGAACGTCACCCAAAGCGCTGCTCTTTCACTGTTTGAAACATTACTGGTCGAGTGTTAAGACACCGTTACCTGCTACTGTTCATGTACTGTACGCGTTCTCTCCTGGACATCATCACTACATTAGGTGATGTCCTCAAGCTATTTTCATTAAGAGATGTTTGTTTCATTGTTTTGACCAAGATCATTGATTTATTTGATTTTACATCTAATTAATTCTGAAAAATATTAGTTATGTTGTCAGAATAAAATTAGAATTTGGTGCAAAAGTTCATTTATTTGAGTAATACATGATGGACTCAGAGCCAGACATTTATAATAGTGATGATTACGGCTTACAGCTGTCCAAACTGTCAGAATCAAGTGTGACACTTTAATAAGCTGATGAACCCAGAACAGCTGCAGAGGGTTGCTGAGCCTTTAGATGGTCTCGCAGTCTGAGCTGGATTACTGACACTAATAGTCTTTAGCATCAGATTCTGAGTTTTGGAGTTTCACCTGTATTTTTGCTACATTTGTCATTCTTTATAATAAATACATGAAAAGGTTCGATTTTATAAAACAAAAATGTGTCAATTTTTTAATGAAAAATATAAATGTATACTTTTACTTTGTAAAGTGGAGATGTGTCCATTCAGACAAATTAATAAATCTTGTGACCTGAACTTTTGTTTGATGTAGATTATTTTTTCCTCCTAGCTAATCTGGATTAGTGGGACATCAAAAAAAAAAAAATCTTAATTTGAAACATTTTGCATTCCAAAATCAGAAAGCCAGTCAACTCTTACTAATTAACCCTTTAGGCCCTAGGCCTTTTTTCTTTGGGCCCTGGCGCCTCCCACTCGGGGGCCTTTAGAGTTTCATGTCCCAAGTGTCGGTGATGGTTTGCATTCCCCGAGCACGGCTACAGCTGCAATCAAACCAGTTTAGATAGTAAACAATGCAAATTTTTGGTTTTTGACACATTAAGATAAAATAATACTTGAACTTTATTTTAGAAGAGCTGCCCTGTGCGAACGTGCTGACAGGATGAAAGTTGTGAGTTCAAATTCCATTTAGGAAATTTAGTCAATTGTTTTATTTATTCCAGGGGTCCTCAGCTACATTTGGTCAAGGTTTTTTTTCCAGCAGACACCAGAGAAGGTCAGATGCTCTTCTAAAATAAAGTTAAAATACCATTGTATCTTAACTGATTACAATTTAAAATGACCTTGTTTCCCATCTGGGCTGTTTGTGGTTTTAGTCGTGTTTGAAGAATGTGGACCGTTGTAGATGTTTGGGACATGAAACTGTAGGTTCCCGAAGTGTTCTCATGAGGGAATGAGTCCAGTTCTGGTCCTCCAGAGCCACTGAACTTCAACGCACTCGATTTAAATCCGTGGATGATTAACAGGTTTCTGCAGCGCTCGGTGAGCTACTGACCAGGTGATTCAACTACTGGGCAGAGATACAACTAAAACATGGTGGATGGCGGCTGTCAGTGACCTGGACCACACCCGTCTGGGACTAAAGGTCCGAGGGTGACCAACGATGCAGTTAGACCAACTTTGTTGTGTGTGTGTGTGTGTGTGTGTGTGTGTGTGTGTCTTCTCTTTCTGCTGTAGGAAAGTTGTTTTATTTTATAGCCACAAGAGGGCGCCCTATGCCCAACAAGATGGTTCAGTATGCAGATGTGGCCAAACGTTGTGTGTGTTGAACATGAATTAAACTTGTCCATATAAGTGTGGTTTATTCTATAAAGTGTGTGTAGCGCCAATGCCCTATACACTGGCACTACCTGGTTGCTGTTGCGGGTGGTCTTTACGTGTGCTTAAAGAAATGCAGCTTGAGTTTATTTCCGATGATGTTTATTATGTTGTCTTGTTCCAAAATGTCCATGATCCATTTACAGCAGTTAAAGTGGGTTTCAGTGAATGCGTTACTTGCCCCATTGACAGTGCGCAGAGTCCTTTACACACAGCCACAGTCCTCGCCACACAATAAAAAAGTGTTTGTCCCATCCAGCCACACCTGAGTCCAATCTGTGTTGGCTTAAGTAGGCTGGTGCTTCCACAAGCAATTAACCAATAACATGAGGCAAAGCCTCCACTCAAGTTCTAAATAAATAGTATTAACGTGTTAAATCTTGACCCTGAAGTTGCCTCCTGGCCGCTGTACAGACGGGAGCCTGAAACGATTTCCTCAGTGGGATCAATAAAGTAAATTATATTTGCCATCTCGTCCTAAATCACAAGCTCTCATGTAATCTAATCTAATCTAATTCTTGCAGACCACTCACACCAAACTGCTTCTGGTCTTAAAGCATCCAGATGAAACCCGCCCTCTGGTGGACGATCTGCAGGTGGAAAGGGCCAATTTTAATTTAACTTATTTTTGTTGCAATATAGATTTGATTTCTTTCTCAGTTTGAGATGTGAACACTCAGGAGCTAAGCCACTGCTATCTGCTATTAAAGACTCGTGCCTAAGCTTAAAATCTAACTTTCCCCAGCGTGAAGCTCTGAAATTCTCCTTTTGTGGTTCTCAGTCCTGGGCTCTAACAAAGGGAGGCTGTCCTCCAGCAGCACAGGGAATGTTTAAACTGACATAAACTTTCATCGAGTTTTCTTCTGCAGAGCAGAGACGGCTGGGTCTGAAACACCTGCACATGTGAGACGGAGCTTCAGCTGTCGGCAGAGATTAGAAACTCACGAGAATTTCACTTTCATAAGCTGGATCATCGAAGATTCAATTTGTTATTGAGGCCAAAGCTCAGTAAGAGGAGATATTGGTATGGATCTTTGCAGGTCGAGTGACCAGATCCCAGCTAACTTACTGTACGACAAAAAAAAAATCTGATTTTAGAGGTGGCAAACTGTATTCTGGGAACGCCTTTGGATACCCGGAGAAGCTGGAGAATGTCACCCAAGATAATCTGGGTTTCACCCTGACCCTGGTTGAGAGCATCTCCCTCTTTTCTGTCGTACTTTGAGAATATAAGGCTACTCCTGTTTCTTAAGAGATGAAAATGCCATCTGGTTCTCCAGTCCACACATGGAGACACCTGGTCATGATGTAAGATTTACCTGTAGGAGGTGGCAGCTGAGCTCATTGAAGCTGATCAAAGGGGATCTTATCCATCCACCAGGAAGCTGCATTCCTGCTCTGATTCAAAATCACACGTGGGCTTTTAGTAAAACGTGTGACGGGTTCTGCAGAAAACACACCTTCATACAACTAGGGTTTAGATAAAAAATTGTGTAGATTTTGAATTCCACTATTTTGTACACACCTGGCTGTAGTTTTATAATCACAGCTTTTCCAGACCCTATCATTTATTGGATTTCTTGGGTGTGGCTGGGATTCGAACCTGCAACCCTCATGCTGCAAGGCAACATGGCCACCAACTACAGGACACCATGTAGAATTGACTGAATTGGACATTATCATAATTGCATCAAAATGACAGGAGATTTTTTTTTATAAAAAATGATTTTTTTTGCAGTTTCAGGTGACTTGTGAATTTGATTTACATAAATAAGGTTAATGAAGAAAATCTGTGTATTCTATTTAGGAGATTTGGTACTAATTCTCCATTTTTAGATTTATTTGAGTACGATAAATATTAATATAAAAGATTAGTAAAAACAAAGGACCAAAAAAACATGTTTGTATAGAAAGTGTTCGAAGAAACCCTTCTAGTCTAAACGAGTCTCTGCTCCAGGAGAGGCTTTTCAAATAAAATGTATAATCCCACAAAACTTGCAAGAAACACAGGTTGTCTATGTTTCCACACGTTCCAGGTTTCCGGGGTGTAAACACGCCCAGTAATTCTCTAAAATCATGTTTTTATAATATAATTTAAAGTGCTGTTTTAGGTTTACACACGCTGGGATTCGAACCCCCACCCTCTCACGAACACCTCCTTCCTGCCTCGGCTCCGCTCCGGGATGTCCAGTCCGGGTTTTGAGTCAGAGGCGCAGCAGCTGAAGGCTCCATCGAGGTTCAGCAGCAACAAGTGGCCCAGAAGGAAGCTGGCTCCTCCAGAAACACCGAGGTGAACACCTGAGACGGGTCCGAAACGGTGAGTTCTGTTTCCCTCTGTCATCACGTAACACCGGAAGTAGAAGCTGGTCAGAAAGCCGTGTTTCTCCCGCTTTAGGGCTTGTTTTTACAGCACAGACTTTTCTTACATACGTGGGAGCGGAATGACTTTTAACAAGTCCCGTGAAGAAGAAAAACCTCATGCTCATGAAGCAGATTTCTAAAGTGATGCGTGCGCTTCTTGAGTTTGACCCGGAGTCTTGTCTGACAGGTTGATGAGCGCCCAGAGATGCGAGCCTCTCTGTTAATACTCGTCTGTGGTGAGTAGACTGTCCCACGCTTTGAAGTCAGTCCGAGTTCTCCTCTGCAGAACAAATCCTCAGAAGTGACTCAGTGAACGAGCACCAAGCCAACAAGTGTGTCCAGGTCACTGGGCTTTCTCTGATTAGCCTGATGTGGAAGACCTTATGGATGGTCATGAGCGTGAAGGTCAGAGCAGAGATGAAGAAAACAGCTTCATCTGACTCTTCTGCTGTCACGTGCTCAAAGAAAAGTCCAGGAGAGGTAACACTTTACATTAAGGGTCCCTTCATTAGCAGTACTTAGTGCTTTATTAAACATTAATAAACTATTAACAGGTGCATAACCATATTATTTAATGCATTACTAAGCAGACCCCGCTGGGACACTTGTTAACAATGTTAATAAAGGGATATTTTGTTCATTAATGCTTAATAATGCACTAAGTAATGTTAATAAAGGGATCTTTTGTTTATTAATGCTTAATAGTGCACTAAGTAATGTTAATAAAGGGATCTTTTTATTATTAATGCTTAATAATGCACTAAGCATTGTTAATAAAGGGATCTTTTGTTTATTAATGCTTAATAATGCACTAAGTAATGTTAATAAAGGGAGTTTTTGTTTATTAAAGCTTAATAATGCACTAAGTAATGTTAATAAAGGGATCCTTATTGTAAAGTGCTACCAACCTTTTACTTTTTGAGGGGGTGTGTAATGACTGGCATCCAGAAAAGATGAAAATGTGAAACAGATCAAGTCTTTTTGCTTGTTTTACTAAAACGTATCATTCAGTTCTGCTGACTCGGTCCTTATGAGAGAAGAAAGGCTGAAGGGACATGCTGGATGGGAAGCCGATGGGAACGCTGGTCCCAGTGCCTCCTCGCGCTGAGATAAGATAGATGGTGTTTCTTTTTTAGGGCCTCCGGTGCCCTCAGGGTCCACCCGGTCTGTCTGTCCGCATCACTGTGGGTGGTGTCGCCCTGTTTATGGTCCTCCTAAAACAGGCAAGCTGAATCCACAAATAGAGACTCCCATTCCACACCTACAAGACCAGTCAAGAGCCTCTGCATTCCCACCAGTCCAGTATGTATCCCAGAGAAGGAAAGAAGCATCCTCATGCCGTATTCCCTGCAGCTCAAAGACAGAGCTTATTTCTATTATCAGCCCACAGCGGTGTTGCTGCTGCTAAATCATGCATCCGTAGTGTTTAAAGCTTAAAGCCTGCAGTGGCTTTTAAAAGCGTCAGAAATTCCACTTTAAGGATTTGTTTAAAATAAGTTTGAATCCACGAATTCGCCTGCAGCGACAGCTTCTGATGCAGTTTGGACCTTAACTCCTTTTGCCACGGTCAGTTTGGTGATGCAGAGCCGTCCATCCTAACTCAAAACACCAGTGAGGACGAGCAGCGGGGTCAAGTGTCACTTCCAAACCCTCGGGTCAGAGACGGGGTTAATTGGTGTGTTCACAAATAAATGTGTCTGTGTGTGAAGTTCACTCTTCCTGCTCCGGTGCCCTTATTGTTTGACCTTTTGCCCTCCCGGTGAGCCTTTTGGAGGATATGACCATGTTTCTGAATGAGCTCAGGTGCATCTTCTGGAGCTTGCTTTCCTTGCTGGTACGTGTCTGCATGTGCTAAGATTAGGGCTTTGTTGACATTCGCTTCAGGTGCGCGTGTGTGTGTGCGTGCGCGCGTGTGTGTGTGCATGGGGACAGGTGATAGCACGTAAGGCAACTGGACCAAGAGGTTTGTGGTCCCGAGGCCTTATGTTGAGTGACAGCCTCCGGAAATGTGCCGATACCAGAACAATGGTGCATTAAAGCCCACTAACCACCAGCCTAAGAGATAAACGGGGGTGGGTGGGGGGGGGGGGGGGGTGGGGGGGGGGGGGGGGTTGATGGAGACAAAGAGGGAAAAAAAAGACAAATTTGAGCCTGAGAAGAAAGGCGGGGGTGGAGGAGCTGTCAAATGAAAGAACAGTGAGTTGGGTTTCTCCTTCCTGTTGACGGGGTTCAACTGGCTTAAAAGGGGAGGTGGAGATAAAAAGCTGTGGAGGAGGAATGGAGGGGAAGGATGAAGAGGAAGGGAGGAGGAGGAGGAAGCACACCTAGTCTCATTAAAATCAATGGAGCGGCTGGTACAGTGAACACGCTGCGTTGGGGGGGTGGGGGGGGGTGTTAGGACACAATACAGAATAATAAACAACTATTTATGTTTCTCTTATTCACGCGTGTGATGATGTAATGAAACGGAAGACCAATCAAACTGCTTCACAGAGGTTTTAGAGAAGTCCAGGACATGAAATCCACGTTGATGCAACAGCTGTGCAGTTTCCTGGCTCTAACTCAGACTAAGAGTTGCGATTATAAAATGTACCAACTCTCCTGAACTTGTCTCACACTGACGACTCGGTGACTCGAGAGGAAATGGACAGCCTCACAAAGGTGTAAGTGTGTTTCTCTACACTGAAAGGCTTTATTTTTCTGATAGTCTAATTAGATTTTTTTTTATTTTATTCTAGATTAAACTCGCTGCTTAAACAGGAAGTTCAGAGAAATCCTTTTTACTTGTTACTTTAAATCTATTTTAAATAGATTTTAAAGTATACAAGTATAACTGTGCCGCGTTTTATTCACCCGCACCCCGCTCGCCCACATCCTTTTCCACACAGTTGTCCTTTTTTGAGGGAGAAACATAGCTATGGCTTTGTGCTGCTTTTCTCTGGACGAGAACATTCTTGGAAACAAATGTGCTAAATTTGGCAAAACAAGATCCCGTGTACTATAACAAAGTCAGCGAAACAGCGAAGTCACAAAAAGTGATCTGCGTTATAGCGAGGGGCCGCTGTCTTTAACGTGTTTATTTACTTATTAGGTGGAAATTATTTACCGGGCTGGCTCTTCCGCTGCTTCAACTACCGACATGTTTTCGTCTCGGATGTTCATTTACAGAAGCCGTGCCATGCTAGATCGTTTTTTGCGTAACTTGCGGGTCACCCATCTTTTCACTGCATCCAGAGTGAAGTTCTCCCATACTTTAGATGTTTTGGTTCGGGTTTTATCTTTAATTTTATCGTTTCTGTTTTTCTCCTGTACCTTTTCTTCCTCCGCCATCTTGCTCATTGTGAGCATGCTCGTCAGCCATGTGTGTGGTGAAAAACGAGGGCGCCTATTGGCCGATTTCTTCTTCTACTGCTCCACTGGTAGATTGGTGGCTCATTACTGCCACACACTGGCCGCAAATTTACCAGAATGTAACCGATGTAACAGATTGTGTTAAAAAATGTTTGCTTACGGTAAAACGTGATTATAAAACAAATAATCGATGATTAAATAAGTTAACTAATTCAATAATCGATTATAACCAATTAAGTTGATTAGTTGTTTCAGCTCTAATATCGACTCACAAGGCATTCATTTATACTAGCGACCACAGCGCAATTACTGAGAAAAACAAGTGAACGTGAGCTTTAGCAGCTGGTAGGTACCTTGTAAATTATGATGTTTATGTGACAAGTCACAGGTCTAGTCTACTAAACTGATCACAAGCTCGTGTTTGGTACGCTTTGTTAAAGAGCTCTCAGACGTGTGATTATCTAATCGCAGACGGGCGTAATTACAGGGTGATGCTGCAGAGAGCTGCGATGGAGGGGAAAGGGAGGAAGGAAGGAATGAAGTCAGAGACGAGAAATCAGGAAATAAACGTGTGGACATGCACAAAAGACAAAATCTCTCTCTCTCACACACACACACACACACACACACACACACACACACACACACACACACACACACACACACACACACACACACACACAGCCCCGTAGCCTGTAAACCCACACCAGCTGTGTCTTGTGCGTTTCACATCCTCGGTTATTTGGGCGTTTTTATTAGATTTGGTTGTGAGGGTGGCAGAACATTTCTGCTTCTTTATCTCATCTTTGGTGAGTTCATGTTGACCCCGTTTGCTTTTTTCTTGGATTAGGCTGATGTTCTGGCTCTTTTCTTTTGAGGTTTGTTGCACAGATTAGAAACGTTAGTGTTTAGTTTGCTGAACTGGAACCTCGGTGGCATCGTTCGGTTCTAACGGGCCTGTTGGCGGTCCCGTGTTCACATGCTGTTGTCGTTCTTTTGCTTTAGCTTTTAAGGAAAAGACAATTAAGCATTCTGTAATCTTTTGTTATTTTGTCAGAATTCTGCCCTCGCCAGTAATCCTCATCTTGACCTCGACAATCAGAAAAAGGAGAAAATGCACATAAAAGGCTCCTGAGTCTATTTTGTAATTGCTCCCAAAGCATCTGACCTTTGCCTCCGGCCACAAAGAAGGTGAATACATCTCTCTTGCACGTGTGGCAAACATAAATACCATGCACACCTACAGTTGTGAACTCGTGCACTCGTGAGGAAACGGCGTTTGAATCCACGCACCTTTTGGTACAAGGCAAATGCCGTTCACAGACACGTGCACCCTCTCAGTTCCCCTCTGCGCTGCAGTTTCCTCTGACTAAATGGAGCCAGATTTTCCTCATCAGAGGTTCTGGTTAGCAAACAGGACTGCAGTCCACTCCGGGTCTCCCTGAGCAGCTGCTGAGTACCGGGGCAAACACAGAACGGGGAGCTGGCTTTAGGGTCCAGAGAACATCTGCTGGGCATGTGTGGATTAATCAGACCCGACAATTAACCCCTCTATTACCGTCGGACAAAAAGCTCCTTTAGATTAAATCTGAGCGGTGAGTAATTGCAGACATGTGGGAAAGCGGCTCTGCAGGGTGGCAGGATGGTCGTGTTAGCTCCTCCCCCTCCAGCCCACCTGTCGCTGTCAGTGTCTTGCTCACTATTTTCTTTCCAGCATGGAGCCATTCAGAGATTTCCAGGGTTGGACGGGAATGTGTGTGACCAGCTGCCTCCCAGCGCCATGCCGTGCTGATCCAACGGTCTCTGGACTCTCAGCAGAAACAACTGCAGACTGTCAGGAATATAGGATTGTGTAATATTAAATGACTTTTGTCTCAAACTGAAGACCAAAAATAGATCCTAACATTTTCCTCTAAAAGCACAACAAATAAGAAAAGCCACGACGTAGCCATAGAGCCTTTTTTAGAGCAGCGGGATTCAACGATCGTAGCAGAATATCCCAACCAGACTGGATGTCAGCAACCATTTAATTCTATAAATAGAATCCAACAACAACCATTTTTAATAAATATACTTAATTATCACCATTTTTAAAGGAAATGGCATCACATCGGCATCAAACAGCATCAAGTAGCATCAGAAGCAGGGACCTGAAAAGGCTCAACAGCCTAATAAAAAAGGCTGGTTCTGTTCTGGGGACGACTGTGGAACCGCTGGAGGAGATCATGCAAAGAAGGATTCTCCAGAGAATCAAGAAAATGATGGACAACCCTGAGCATTCTCTTCACAAGACTGTCCGACAACGGAAGAGTGTCTTCAGTCAGAGGCTTCTTCAGTTTGGCTGCAACACTGACCGCTACTGGAGATCCTTCCTGCCAACAGCCGTTGTAATATACAATAACTCTTTGATGACTTGATTATTATTATTATTCTGAGCTACTACAGCAATCAATTTCCCTCTGGGATTAATAAAGTATTTCTGAATTGAATTGAAATGAAGCATGATTATTGTGAGGAGCAGATTCCTGTGGTGACTAGGGTGAAGAAGGTGAGCTGCAGGGCAGTGTGGGGAGTTTGAACATCAGAGGGAAGAGGAGATGGGAGGAGAGCAGCTGGCTGTGGGAGCTGACATCCATCAACAGAGCAGCGAGACACCGAGAGGCAGAACTCATTAACTCGGACGGGTTAAAGGCTGTTGACTTTTCTCTGCCTGCAGAACTGCTGAGTGTTGCTAACCCTGCTTGTTGCAGAACCGGACCCAGGACCCACTCCTGTTCTCTCGTTATTCTTTCTGATGAGATACGCATGTCTGCTCATCCCTGTTTGTCTCCTTTTGTCGCCTAAACTGACAGCAAACTGTGTCCCGCCAGCCTGTCTCACAGGAATGTCCCACACTGCCGTTACACCGCGCTCCTCTCGGCTTCGGAGCTGCAGCATTCGACTCTGCAGCAAAACAGCTAAACCAGAGCATCAGTTGGTTTAAGCACCACATGTGCATCCATCTAGGGATTTGGGAGGCCGTGGGGATTTTTCCGGTCTAATCCTGGTCTTTTGGGTTTCCTAAATGTTTTAGAGGCTTCTTCCTTTCAGGATGATGGACTAGTAACAAGCTTCTGCAGAACTTGACAACAGGCTGTTGAGACCTGAGTCAGATGTTAGTAGAGGGGCACGTTTGAAACTGTGAGCTCTGACATTTACCTAAAGAGCAAGTTCACTGAGAAACCGTTTTTCACTTGTTCTCTCTGAGGTTAACATTTATGGGCTCACCCATCTTGGCTCACGACGGGGAAGGCTGTTATTGGTTTAGCGTCCAGGAAACAGCAGAGAACCTCTCTGCTAATAGAAGCTAACCATTAGCATTAGCAACTCCACCACACAGCAGAACTCCTCCAGGCTTGTGCTATTTGTGGAGATAAAACATTATCGTTGCAGAGCAGACAGAGTCAGATGTAGAGTAGGGTTGCTGTTAGCCAATCAGAGGCGAGATGTCCAAACATCAGGAAAAGGGACTCCAAATCCTGCCGTCTGAAGCTACTTCCTCCTCCTGCCGGCTTCTCCGGCAGGTGAAGCAGGTGCAGTGGAGCTTTTTGTCCTTAGAGAACGACTTACGAGGCATTCATTCCTACTAGAGACCACTGCAAACGTTTTAAAAAACACGAGTAAAGTTTCATCCAACAGGTTTTCTTGCTTCTGGTGTCATTTATTCATCGTTTGTGAGATCACAAGAATAGAGAAAAGTTCAGCTAAAAAGTTGAAGTTGATTTCAAAAGCAGAATGATGGCAAACATATTCATAGTTGGACAGATATGTAATATTTTACTGGCAACATTTGTCGAGTATGAATATTTTAAAACATCAAGGACATCATTTTATGGATTTTCCCAACAGATGGTGGGCGATGAAGCCTCTGAATGAAATCAGCAGTGAAATAATAACATTTATAGAAAAATCTAAACATTTGTCTGACTGAAGCTTGCAGGTTGCAGAATTTACACGTTTTCTGGTTTATTATGCAAGTCTGATGATGTTGTTACAGCTAAATGAACGAATGATTGTGTGCATTGGAGCATGAATGCAACGTGAAATCTTTTATATTTAGAAATGACTCCAAAGATGCAAACCCAGGCTTGGAATTCAGTTTTGAAAATCAAACTGGGCGCCCTGCAGACGACACAGCTGTCACGAGGACGAGCTCTCAGCTCGTGTCAGATTTCACCGTCGTTTGGCACAAACATAATTGTCTCTGGTCCTTTTGATTTGCTCTATTGATGCACCAACAGCATCTAATGCAGCACGGTGATACTCTTACGTCTATGTGTGGGTGTAGAACACGGATAACAAACCGGGTAATGATAGGTTACAAAATGCAGTCAGGATGGCTGAACAGTTGTGCTTCGATAGCTTTGTGAGCCGAGACACACATGCACGCACGCACGCACACACACACACACACACACACACACACACACACACACACACACACACACACACACACACACAATCCCTCTCTCCTCTTTCAGCAGTCACACTTAGTTTCTTGTGTTTTTTAATGGCTACGGAGAAAATAAAAGAACTAGCAGATCTTAAACAAATCTTTTTTTAATCATTTAAAAGGAGTCAGAGTACTTGTATGAATGAAATAAATACTTTTTATAAGAAATCCAGTTTCTTTTTGTATGTAATCGGGACACGGAGATGATATTCTTAAAGCAACACTTATAAGTTTCCTGCTCCTCTGCCCTACTGGTTGAAAGTGGAATTGCAACTGTCGTAAACAACCCTGCTGTAGCTAGTGCTAACAACGAGCTAACGCTAACATGAGCCAACTGATAATAAAATAAACCACAAAGTAAAAAGATCCACGCTGTTAGACAAAAATATTATTACTTCCTACTTAGTCCAGTAGCAACAAAGCCAGGTCACCATCAGTCCATGATTTAGTAGCCTCCTTTAGCGCCCTCATACTAGAGTAGACCATGTAGATGTTCACTCTGGTTTCAGATCTTAGCTTTGCAGAAATCTTCTTCTTCTTCTTGTGGTTTTTATTGACAGTCGGCAAAGTGAAAAAGTAACTGCCAGCCTTAATATTAGCTACCTGCACAGTGAAAAGCTATTGCCGTAAAGCAGGTAGAGACCTCCCACAACCGGAACCACTAAACGCTAAGTGCAGTTTCTGGTCAGCAGAGGGCTTCAGAGCGATGTTCGGTGTGCAGCGTCTCACATTTTTTGTTTCCAGAGCCAGTCAAATGAGTTTCAAAGAAACAGCTCAAGGTTTTAAAAAACTCTTTACTGTTACTTTAAGTCTTTTTTATTATTAAAGCTACAATGGCAAATCTGCAAAACAAGCTAATTAAAATTTTCATGTTTCTTAACAATTCTCTAACAAAGTATAACTACAAATATGTTGCGGGGATTAAAATAAAGAAAATAATCAAAGTGTTTCGCTCCGATTGGTCTAGAAACCTCAGCCAGAATAGCACACAGATAAGAGGCGTGGTGATTACAGCAGTCCTGCTTCCTCCCACCAGACATGTGCAGCTGTGCCAGCTGTTTCCAGAGCAGATATCATGTCACGTCTGAATGAAGCTGCTCGTTGTCTGGAGAGAAGCTCCGGGCCCTGGCGCTTGCTTTCTTGTCTTCACTCTCTTCCTGTCACATGCAGACAGATAAGGAAAAATAAAGCCGGCAAACTTCAGACCGAGCTGTTACCGAGAGCAGCACCTCTGCTGTTTTACACGGATAACCGAGTGGAACATGTATGTTTGCATGGATGCACAGGTGTGATACTCACCTGTTTGTTGTGTATCTGCCTTGCAGCGCCCGAGGCTCGTCCAAATGAAGATCTAGGGTTTGTGGGAGTGTGACTGAAACGAAGGTTTCACATCTGCAGCTGGTTGTTCTCATGTGTTCAGAACAAACCATACAGGACTGTCTGGATTCTTATAGAGATGAGCCAACATCAAGGTTTTGTTCAACATCTGCAGAGGAACTAGAAATATGTATCACACAGGCAGAAAAGAGGGCTTATCAGTAATATTTCTGCTTTTGTCGTTGGCAAAGTAAGATATTTTTATTGTGCGTTGTAATGTTTTGATTGGAGGAGAATCCGTTCCTTATCCAGCTAACAGATTTAGCAAGAACCTGTAATGTCATTTAGTGCTATGCTCAAGAGTTGACCAAAGTGGTTATAATTCCATCAGCATGAGTTTAAAACTTAACCAGTTCAAAGGTTTTAAGATGTCAATCTCATCTGCTTTGGCCCGTTTGGCGCATGGTTCACTCATGTCACCTGGTTGTCTTGATAAATAGATATTTGCCTGATTAAAAAGCACAATTACTGGACTCAGTTAGGCTTTACACTCACCTAAAGAATTATTAGGAACATCTGTCCAACTTCTGCTCAATGCAATTATCTAATCAACCAATCACACGGCAGTTGATTCATTTAGGGGTGTGGTCCTGGTCAAGACGATCTCCTGAGCTCTAAACTGAACGGAAAAGAAAGGTGATTTAAGCTATGTTGTTGGTGCCAGATGGGCCAGTCTTACCCAACCTGCTCAGTTACTGGGATTCTCACCCACAACCATTTCTAGGGTTTACAAAGGTGTGAAAAGGGAAAAACATCCAGTCCTGTGGGCGAAAATGCCTTGTTGATGCTAGAGGTCAGAGGAGAATGGGCGGACTGATTCAAGCTGATAGAAGAGCCTAACCCTCATTACAATAGAGGAATACAGCAAAGAATTTGTGAAGCCACAACACGCACAACCTTGAGGCGGATGGGCTACAACAGCAGAACACCCCACCGGGTACCACTCATCTCCACTACAAATAGGAGAAAGAGGCTACAGTTTGCACCAGCTCACCAAAACTGGACAGTTGAAGACTGGAAAAATGTTGCCTGGTCTGATGAGTCTCCATTTCTGTTGAGACATTCATGGTAGAGTCAGAATTTGGCGTAAACGGAATGAGAACACGGATCCATCATGCCTTGTTACCACTGTGCAGGCTGGTGGTGGTGGTGTCATGGTGTGGGGATGTTTTCTTGCCACACTTTAGGCCCCTTAGTGCCATCTGGGCATGGTTTAAATGCCACGGGCTACCTGAGCATTGTTTCTGACCATGTCCATCCCTTCATGACCACCATGTACCCATCCTCTGATGACTACTTCCAGCAGGATAATGCACCATGTCATAAAGCTCCAATCATTTCTAATTGGTTCCTTGAACATGACGATGAGTTCACTGTACTACAACGACCCCCACAGTCACCAGATCTCAACCCGATAGAGCATCTTTGGGATGAGGTGGAATGGGAGCTTTGTGCCCTGGATGTGCAACCCACACATCTCCATCAGCTGCAAGATGCTGTCCTATCAGTATGGACCAACATTTCTAAAGATGCTTTCAGCACCTTGTTGAATCAACGCCACGTAGAGTTAAGGCAGTTCTGGAGGGGATAGGGGGTCAAACACCGTGTTAGTGTGGTGTTCCTGATAATCCTTTAGGTGAGTGTGGAGTGGTCCAGCGTTCATTCCCTGTGGATATCTCTCAGCTGATTAGAGTACAGCAATTTCTGTTTGTTGGCAAACATAAAGGGTTGAATTCTGGCCCAACTGTTACCAGTTCAGGTCCCTTTATGAGCAGTCACGCCCAGCAGAGTCTGGCTTTATAACTGCAGAAACTGTTAGCTGATAATGCATATTCCATAATAAAAGTCAGACACAATCACCAAAACATGAAGAAATAGCAACAGAAAGAAAATAGTCGGGAATAAGGGAGTGGACACGGACAAGTAGTCTGTAAAAACCATAAATGAGAATAATAAGTGTAAAACATGGTGTTGTGGCTCTGTTGGCCAGCTAGAGGTGTGCGTTTACAAATGGGAAATGTTGCTTTCAGCTTTACATACGGAAGTGGTGAAAACGGCTTAAGGTGCGATGCATTTATAACCCGCCGCTGCATGGTGCATGGATATGACACAGCTTCCATAAACAAACACACGCATTAGCCACGCTTCAGGCGTCTAGTCATTTATAATGGCCCCAGCAACACTGAAGAAGTTAGAATAAATAAAAGACCACTTACAGTTAGTGCTGATGCACTTCCCTTTGGTTCTGCCGTTCTTTTCTGCCGCCGGGGGCATTTCCGACCGCTGTGGCGTATCCGTGCGCCTTGCAGCGGCGCTTTGTCGTACTGTAGTCCCAAGTCTTACTTTTCACTTGCAGTCGACATTATTATTGAGCTCACCAGGAATAATTGGTATCATTATTGAGTCATTTTAATCACTTTTGCACATGAAACTCTAGCTCCTGCTACTCACTTCCATTGTTTATGCTAAGCTAAAGCAGACGGACTGCTGCCAGACCCGGAGAATGACCGCGCCGGTTACAAAATGCTTTTTTTTCACTTATCTAACCCTGGGGACATTTTCTTCCCTTGGACGGTGTGAGTGGGTTTTAGAGAGGTTTTCGTCCTGCAGCGTGTCGGCGGAAGATGGAAAACACCTGTTATGGTGGTGAGACTGCAGACTGACAGCGAGAACAACTCAAAAATACTCTGACTCACAGCCCCCAGAGGCACGTGGGAGGAGGAATCCACTGAAGGCTTCAGCAGCCGCTGCTGGTTGTCATGAAAGTTTATAAGGTTTATTTTAACTCCCACACATACCGCAGCTGCTTAGTGACACCGTGGCTCCGGTGGTGAAACAGACGCACGGTTATCACTTGTGTTCGACATCACTCCCAGTCCTGGAACATTAGTGCTCCCGTTTTCTGAATCCGGTAGCCGCCTCTTGTTTTAGGTCACCTCTGTTTGACCTGCCTTGGTGTCCCTGGAGGCTCTCGCATGTCTTTTTTGGACCCCTGCTAGCAGCAGAGCATGCTAGCGTGAGATAATCCCTCCGAAATTAGATGTTGTACCAACACTGCAGGGGGGAACGGTTCCTTTTTATATCGGACGTGTAAAAGCACACGAGTGACGATAATTAATTATTTATTGTCACATAAATGACAGCTAAAATGTGCACACGCTCAGTAGTTAAGACAAACTTCAGTATTTCCCCCATTTCTCACAGATTTGCTTCCCGTCTCTTCAGGCAGGCATGCCGCCTGGGGGCCATTTAGGAGACCCCCACTTTCATTTATAAAATGACAAGTTTGTTCTCTCCCGAGGCTGTTGATCAACACTTTCTGTCATTTTCTATGTTCACGTGTTTACTGAAATGCACACTTTGGTCCTATTTTGAGGAATACAAATAAATAAATTCACCATAAAAGAAGTTTAGCATTTTTTAAAATAAAAAACATGTTTTCTTAACTTGGCCAAAAGGATGTGACGCCCCTGATGTCTTTCAGGACAGAAAGACGAGTACTAATTAGTTTTTTCATTGCTAAATAGGTGCTTTGTTAGCAAATGACTTCCTGATCGCTGTAATCCACTTCCTGTTTCTCTGCTCCCAGCCCTGGCTGCTGCAGCTGGCCAGGAGCCTGACCACGCCCATGGCTGTGCCCATGGCAGCTGTTACCCGGCAACAGGAGACCTGTTGGTGGGAAGGGAGAAAAACTTGAAGGCCTCGTCCACATGTGGCATGAGAAAAAAAGAGCCGTACTGCATCGTCAGCCATTTACAGGTGAGTTTGAGGATCAAAGATCTGTTTTGTTGGTAATTTGCTTATGACCCGATAATCCCTGTTAATCTGTCCTGCTGCAGGAGGAGAAGAAGTGCTTTGAGTGCGACTCCAGACGTCCATATGACCCGATCTACAACATTAACAATCACCGGGTGGAGAATGTTATTACCACCTTCAAACCTCACCGCAAAAAGTCCTGGTGGCAGTCCGAGAACGGTTCGGAGACTTTCTGCTTATTCGAGCTCTGCAGTGACAGATTTTTAAGTAGCTCCAAGGGAAAGCCTTTTTAGTTCTCTTGCTCCAAACTCAAAAGTTCAACCAGAACAAAAGAAGTGTGATGCGTTTTAACAGCAGAGTTCGTGCAGCTACGTGAGAGTTGGTGTGGTTTAACAATCCTGGTGGAAGTCATTTTGGGTTAGGGTTAGTGTGGGCGGGGCCAGGAGATGCCATTTTCCCAGTGATGTAGAAAAGTTAACGATGTTTTATTCGCATTTATTGATTCTGTTTAACTCCAGCGTGCTTCACATTAGTTTGTTCTGGTCACTTGTGGAAGAAGGTTGTTCTCCGAAGCGGCCGACAGATTCAGCTCCTCTGAATCCGAGACCGTGGTCTTGAGTCGGAAAAGGGTGGAGGGCCTTCTCCTGGTCAAGGACGAGGTCCTGCCCCAAGTGGAGCAGTTTAAGTGTCTTGTTCACGAGTGAGGGAAAGATGGAGCGTGAGATCGATAGGCGGATTGGTGCTGCGTCTGCAATGATGTGGGTGTTTTACCGGTCTGTCGTGGTGAAAAGAGAGCTGAGCCAGAAGGTGAAGCTCTCGGTTTACCGGTTGATCTACGTTCCTACCCTCACCTATGGTCATGAGCTTTGGGAAGTGACCGAAAGAACGAGATCGCGGATACAAGCGACCGAAATGAGTATTTTTCACAGGGTGGCTGGGCTCTCTCTTAGACATAGGGTGAGCTCAGTCATCTAGGATCAGGGTGCCTCCTGGACGCCTCCCTGGTGAGGTTTTCCGGGCACGTCCAACCTGGAGGAGACCTTAAGGAAGACCCAGGACGCGCTGGAGGGACTATGTCTCTCGACTGGCCAAGGAACGCCTTGGGATTCCCCCGGCGGAGCTGACCCAAGTGCCTGGGGAGAGGGAAGTCTGGGCCTCTGTGCTTAGGCTGCTGCCCCCGCGACCATACCCGGATTAACAGATGAAAATGGATGGGTGGAACTGCCTGGTGCTGACCTCTTCTCCTCAGCTCACCCTGAAGTGTCCTTCAGGAGGCTGGAGAAGCTGCTTCTCTCCTTCAAAGTTTAAAAAGCTTGTAGATCACTAAGATAAGTCCAGATTTATTAGATCACATCCAGAAGTGTTCAGATTCAATGATTCGGCTCCTGTTTAGAAATAGGTTTTGGTGTTGTGCTGAGATGCGTTTCCCTGTCAGAAACCATCTCACCTCCACGCTGTTCTTTAGTGATGCCCGTTGAAAGAACATGTAGATTCATTCCTCTGAAACCCGGAGGTGCTATGCTTCAACTAGAAGAAAATCCTGTAAATCTGACCCTTTTAACAAAGATGAAAAGGTATTACGTTTCCTAAAAACCAAATCCTCGAGCTTCATCAAAAAGAAAGCTCACAAGCGTAAAAGCAGCCGGTAGCGACAGAGATGTTCAAAAGCGGTTTACAGATTGTGCCCAACATCCTCCCAGCAGCTCCAGTTCACTTGAATAACAGAGTAGGCTCAGCTGTGGTGTCTCATCAGAGAGACGGGCTGGGAGGGAGGAACCTTTAATCCCGGCTGGAAGATGAAAGCGAGAGCAGAGGGAATGACCCGGTAGAGACAGAGCGCTTAAGATGGAGACAAATTTGACACGATAGGTCTTTTATGAGTCGGATGCAAGGGCGCCCCCAACGGGTGGCCATGGCCACACCTGGAAAATTGCCCCTCCCCCCAGGAAAATGCAGTGTTAGCAAATCATATTAATGTTCAGTCAAACCATATATTGATCTTGTTAATTCAAGACATAATTGTAAAACAAAATAAAAATATTACAATTAAGGAGTAAAAAATAATCACAATTAAAAAAATACACGTTTCTGCTGCTCACCATTTAAAAAAAAGTTTTTATCTCCATAGTTTTTATTTTTTTGTGAGCACAACAGCAGGTGAATTAACCTGTTACCACCAGGTGTCTAGGAGGCCTGGGGTAACATGGAGGACGCGTGACACAAAAGGAAAATTAACAAACGTTTTATTTACTTTTCTATTTTTTTGTCAAAAACCCCTTTAACCAAAACAGGTTCAAACACTAAAATGTAACATAACACTAAAGAGAGCACAAAATCTAAGGTAACAGATTACCCCTAAAGCTTATTTCTTCTTCAATATCAAAGCTCTAAGTGGGAGACAACAGACCAGAGGAAAGGCAGCTCTGCACTATTGTCCCCCATTGGTGAGGAGCTCCAGCAGGTCCATTAAGCAATCTGCGGCTGATGAAAACCCAGCTCAGCTGGTGCAGGGAGGAGCAAGGGTGAGCAAACAGGCCATAGTCTGCAGGCAGGCTCCTCAGATGCAGCATAAAAATGCACAGAAAAATGAAATCACAACACAAAAAGGCTCCAGCCGTAACATAACCTAAAAAAAATACGTTTTTAAATTAAATTTTGTGATAACATTTTAAATAACTGACATGTATTTTTCTAAAATGTTTGTGTTTGTAAAATTTAAGTTAAATGTTTTGGATACGTACTGTTATTTTAATAAAAACGAATAGAGGCGCAAAGCAGCACATCGCCACAGGCTCAGATCAACCAGAGTTACCACAAGGACCAATTTGGTGCCACCCCAAAAATGTCTTTGGCCCCATCTGGCCACCCCTTCAAAATTTTCTGGAGGCGCCCCTGGGCGGATGCATTTGGCGAGCTCTGATGCGGACACAGGAAGTGAAGTGACTATTTTTACTCCTGCTTGTCCGTCTGTGCGTCTCAGAGTTCATTATGAAGGACAGGGCTTTGATTGTGTTCGGGAGTTTAATGGAAACATGCTGAATTTTTACTAAATGCGTCAAAATCTTTTATTTTTAATGACTAATTATTATTTCTAACACATTTGTTTAAAACAAGAGATCTATCACTCCTTTGAGCTTTTTTATCTCATTTTTATTCTTTTGCTTTTTCTTGATAACATCGTTTTAGACAAAAATATAGAAGTTGTTTCTACCAGATATATAAAAATTAAATCACATAATCAAAGGTGTTTTCATCTGCTTATGTGTAACTAAATCTAACTGAATTCACTCACTCATCTTTTCTGCTGCTTGTTACTCACTCGGGTCGCGGGGAGCTGGAGTCCAAAGACTCTTTCACACCAAACATGGAACGGAACCATTCAGAGCGTTCACACGACACGTCTAATTTGTCACAGAGTTGAAGAAGTTACACGAGCCAGACAGGAAGTGGGACGTGTCTCAGTGAAATACGTCCAGTTCATTAGCCTTTGTTTTATTACACGCAGCGTACGATCGCTCTCGTTAGTTTTACAGGTACAGGTTAAACCGGTTATGTCTAATTTGTAATAATTTGGTGCTCTTGTGGGAGCAGATAATCAGAGGCGTTCAGCACACGAACCGCAGTCGGTGTGAATGATGGTCCGGAAACCGTAACACCTCCGTACCGCATTCGCTGTGAAACAGGCCCAACTCCAGCCATCGGGCGAGAGACTGGGGACATCCTGGACGGGTCACCAGTTCGTCACAAGGACACACTTAGATGACGGTGGCACAGGAGTTAAATGCTCGCCCCGTAATCGGAAGGTTGCAGGTTCGAGCCCCGCTCAGTTTGTCGCTGTCGTTGTGTCCTTGGGCAAGACACTTAACCCCCCCCCCCCCCCCTTGCCTGCTGGTGGTGGTCGGAGGGACCGGTGGCGCCAGTGCTCGGCAGCCTCGCCTCTGTCAGTGCGCCCCAGGGCAGCTGTAGCTACATCGTAGCTCATCTCCACCAGTGTGTGAATGGGTGAATGACTGATTGTGTTGTAAAGCGCCTTGGGGGGTTCCAGGACTCTAGATGGCGCTATATGAAATACAGGCCCGTTACCATTCATCATTTACAACACCAGTCACACTCTCACTCACACCTAGGGACAATTTAGTCTCCAGTAAACCTAACATGCATGTTTTTATACCTGCAGAAAACTCCAAACAGCCAGGATTCAAACCTGCAACCCTGCTCCAAGGCAACAGTGCTGCACCACCATGCAGCCCCCCCCCCCCCCCCCCCCCAGCTCACTGTTATGTGCTCGTAAAATATCCAAACATGCAGCGTTGGATTTGGTGTGTAAATTAGTTTAATCCGAATATAATCCAGTGGGAAAATCCCAGCTAAGTGATCTGTTGCTCGGGTCTGTGTGTTTTTGAAGTTAAAAGGTGCCTTTCATCTGCCGGTATACAGAAGTGGGAAACCCCTGTTTGATGTAACATGAAGCAGAGGGAACGTCAAACCTTTTTCTCAGCATGAAGGGCTCAGAAAAAGTGTGTGAGCAGGGCTTTTCAAACCTGTTCCTCGGGTCAGAGCGTGGCTTGCTACTTCACTCACGGCCATAGCCGCGGTTGGGTGTCATCCAGCTGTAAGAGAGGGGCGATGCAGACTGGAGATGGTCCAGTTGGTTTGTTAATTATATCATCCAAACCCCCTAAATAACCTGGTTTCTGCCTTTCTTAGGGAAATCGGATGTTTTTATTCAGCTGGATCTGGAGGCGGAGTTTCACTTTACTCATCTGATCATGACGTTTAAGGTAGGATTTTATTTTTCTGGCTAAAAGGCCAAAAATAAGGTAACCATTAACATCTAAGCAGATGCCGGCTTACTTCTCTCGCAGACCTTCCGCCCAGCAGCCCTGCTAATCGAACGGTCAGCAGATCTTGGCCGCTCCTGGCAGGTCTATCGCTACTTCGCTCACGACTGCGCTGAATCCTTTCCTGGAGTTTCCCAGGGTCCGCTGCGTACCATTAATGATGTCATCTGTGAGTCACGTTATTCAGACATCGAGCCGTCAACAGAGGGTGAGGTAAGGCTGGTACACCTAAACTCTGACTATGTGGCCTTTTATGCTAGTTTGTTCAACCTTTCTAGTTATTTAATCGAGTATGAGTTGACAGGATTACTATTGACTGGTATGTTACTGCAGGTACCACCGTTTAGAACAGACTTTATTAACCTCACAGTGGGGGATTCACTTGCTACAGCAGCAAAATAATACCAGGATTACAGGTAAACACACAAAGGCAGTAAGCCGCTATTCCAACCTTCATCCACTAAATGCATGAAGGAGCCTGTTGGATAGAGGAAGGTGGAAAAACCTCTGGATCCCAGACTGGAACTCACTTGTATAGTTTGAGCTGCAGAAGGAATAAAAAATGAAGTTTGTAGATACTGTCTGTATCTTTCACTTTTTATGACTTTCCTTCTTCTTTGTAATAAAACTAGTTATTGACCCTTTCTTGGCTTAAAGCAGGGCTCATCAATTATAACGGTCCAAGGGCCGCTCACAAAAAAGACCCAGAAGCAAGAGGGCCGGACGGGGGTGGGGGCTGCTTGGATCGCTGGCTGTAATGCACATAACACACAAGCTTGCAATATAAAGAAGGACCGCACCTGTCCCCCTCCAGCTCGGCTGTGTGACTGCACTAACCAGTCCTGTGGGACCCTCACCATGTGACCCTCATGTCCATGCTGTCTTTGGAGGAGCAGATAGGAAGCAAGATCTCCTGTAACTTAAAATGAACCAAAACTTCCTCCCAGTTTCTCTTTAAGCTGAATTTAACATCAGTTTATCATCATGAAACAAAAGAATAAAGTGGAACAAGAACTTCTATCTTCTATCTCTCTCCTTTTAACTTCTCCGTGTCCCTGAATAAAAGAGAGACGATCACGCTGCAGCCGCCGTCATTGACCCCGCCCCCTCCCCAAGACCGGATCTCCCGACATCACAGCACTCGGTCTGACTGAGTGCTTCCAAGAGAAATAATAATGAAATTATGAAAATAATAACGCGCGTTTGGAGCATCGGTTTGGAGGAGCGTCCTCCGATCCTCTCTCTCTCTCTCTCAGTCGCTGATCGAGTGAGCGGAGCGCGCCGCACGACAACCCGCTCAATTAACATCATTCACGGCCCAAATCCAACAGAACCGATCGGGCTGATTCGGTTCGGGTTTGGTCTCAGGTTACAACTCCAGCGCTCAGTCCTGCAGTGCCACGTAAAGGCGGACCAAAGTTTCCTACCCGGTAAATGTGGAGAACACCCACTTTGACGGATGTGGATGCTGCGCTGGTGCCGC